ACCGAAGTTGCATCTGATTGGATTTGTTGCCTAGTAACAAAATTTTGAAATTTGATTCTATTTCATGGAGAGAAAATATCCCTTCCCCATACCCATTTTTGGATCTCTGTACTGCTCGCTCCAATTTCTTATCAGAGAAGTTTACTTTAGAAAGCCTTGAGTTCTGCTTCAGAGCAATCTCATTTGCTTCAAACATTTTATAAATATTGATGACTGATTTTAAATTGTTGCAATAATGAAAGGAACATCACTTTGTCTTCTCTATCAGATGACCTTCCTTGGTTGACGTGAGAAGGTTTGTCAAAAGTCCAACATGACAAAAGTTTCCATCAGAGTTACCTAAGTAACTCTACTGTTGCTCTGGAGGAGTCCCAGGGACTAATTTGCTTCTAATTAATTATTAATTGATTGATTAATTAAATATTAATAATTATGGTGGAATATGGTGGGCTGTCAAAGAATGTGGTCCAGAAATATTAGCAGGGTATCATTAGGTTGAACCATAAATTAAAGAAATATTTCCATGAATTACCAATAGCACTGATTTGCACATACATGAAAGATTTTTGTGTAGTCAAAGAAAATAATTCTTTGGCTTTTTCCCCTCTACTCTGACTTCCAGTTCATAGCACAGGTATTCCTCACAACTATTTGAAGTTCCTATTTCCCTGAAAAAAATTCACATGACCACTCTTTTATGACCCTTGCAGCATTCCCACAGTCATGTGATCAAAATTCAGGCACCTGGCAACTGGCATGTATTTACAACAGTTGCAGCATCCCAGGTGATTATCATTTATGACCCTCACGGCTGACAGCTGACAAGGAAAGCTAACGGGGAAAGCCAGATTCACTTACCAACTGAAGTGACTCGCTTGATAGTCATGGCAAGAAAGGTCGTAAACTTGGTGAGAGTCACTTAACAACTGTCTTGCTTAGCAATGGAAATTCTGGCCCCAACTGTGGTCGTTAGTTGAAGACCACCTGTAAAACTCCAAATGCTGGGGTATGAGCCAGCAGTGTGCAGCAGCTGCCAAAAAAGCCAACACAGTTCTGGGCTGCATAAACAGAGGGATAGAATCAAGATCACGTGAACAGTGGTTCACCGATCGGTTCCCCCCCCCTCCCCCCCCCACCCACGTTATTCTTACCTTTTATTTGGTCCCACCCCCAATCTATTGCTGCCTCCTGAGTCCCAGCTGATGACTAGAGGGAAAATGAAGGTTTAATGAAGAGGACTAGGGGAGACATGATAGCAGTCTTCCGATATCTCAGGGGCTGCCACAGAGAAGAGGGAGTCAAGCTATTCTCCAAAGCACCCGAAGGCAGGACAAGAAGCAATGGGTGGAAACTAATCAAGGAGAGAAGCAACTTAGAACTAAGGAGAAATTTCCTGACAGTCAGAACAATCAATCAGTGGAACGACTTGGCTCCAGAAGTTTTAAATGCTCCAATGCTTGAGGTTTTTAAGAAGAGATTGGACAACTATTCGTCTGAAATGGTACACAATTTCCTGCTTGAGCAGGGGGTTGGACTAGAAGACCTTCAAAGTCCCTTTCAGCTCAGTTGTTCTGTGCCTACGTATAAATCCATTAAACCGCACTATATAAAAAGGAAGAAAGCCATTTTAGGAGTCATTTACCAAGCGTAGCATATACTGAGAGTAAATCCATAACGGCGATCTTGCATTTTTAGGCTTCTGCTGGTAATCATGCTCGAATTCTTGGAAAATGTATTTTAATGGTACATCAAATCTTTCTGTTGCATTGTGAATAATTATTTTCTTTGAAAACAAGTGCCAGACTAAACAAAGACCTTCCACGTATGTGCAAATGAGTGCTATTGCACTTGGTAATTCATGCAAACATTAGATATTCTATAGAACTACCATCTGCTGGCGAAGGCCTTCGCTTTCTTTTCAACCACAGGTAATCCTTGACTTACAATCATTCATTTAGTGACCACCCAAAGTTACAACAGCATTGAAAAAATGACTCCATGATCATTTTTCACACTTACCAATGCTACATCCCCATGGTCATGTGAGTATAATTCAGACTCCTGGCAACTGACTCATATTTATGACGGATTCCCTTTTGATGAGCAAAGTCAATAGAGAAGCCAGATTCATTTAACAATTACATTACTAATTTAACAACTGCAGTGATTCACTTAGCAACTGCGGCAAGAAAGTTTAGTTTAGTTTAGTTTAGTTTATTCATACTTATATGCCACCCTTCTCCCGAAGGACTCGGGGCAGCTCACAACAATAAAACAACGGAACAATAAAAATTAGCACTAAAATAATCCAATTAAAATCCCCAACAGGTTAAAACTAATAACTCCCAGCAGATCAGGAGATTTGTTGGAAAAGCCATGTCTTCAAGTCACCGCGGAAAGAGCGGAGATCGGGGGCCGTCCGGAGTCCAGTGGGTAATTTGTTCCAGAGGGTCGGTGCGCCCACAAAGAACGCCCTCATCCTGGGCACCACCAGTCGACATTGTCTGGCCGATGGCACCCGGAGGAGGGCAGTCCTATGTGAGCGCACTGGGCAGTGGGAGGCCGGTAGGAGGTGGTCCTGCAAATACCCCAGGCCCTTGCCATGAAGGGCTTTATAGGTAAGTACCAGCACCTTGAAGCAGATCCGAAGGACCACCGGTAGCCAGGGCAGCTTGCGCAGGAGAGGTGTAACACGGGAGTAATGGGAGGCTCCCGTAACAACCCGCGCGGCCGCATTCTGGACCAGCTGGCGCCTCCAGGTGCACCACAAGGGCAGCCCCATGTAGAGGGCATTGCAGTAGTCCAGACGGGAGATAACGAGAGCATGAGTGACTGTATGGAGGGCATCCCTATCTAGGAAAGGTCACAACTGGCGCACCAGGCGAACCTGTGCAAAGGCCCCCCTGGTCACGGCCGTCAGATGGTCGACTAAGGACAGCCACAAATCCAGGAGGATGTCAAGCTTGCGAGCCCTTTCAGATGGAGTAAGCAATTCCCCTCCCATCAAAAGTGGTGGGGCCGCTAGATCATGGGATGCCGGCATCCACAGCCACTCCATCTTGGAGGGGTTGAGTTTGAGCCTGTTCCTACCCATCCAGACCCGTACCGCCTCCAGGCACTTAAGACATCACGGAAAGGGCATCCCTGAGTTGGTCCGGGGTGGAGATGTAAAGCTGGGTATCATCAGCATACTGATGATACCTCACCCCGAAACTGCGAATGATCTCACCCAGCGGCTTCATATAGATGTTAAAGAGCAAGGGGGAGAGAACCGATCCCTGAGGCACCCCACAAATGAGGGGGCCCGGGGAGGATCTCTGTCCCCCTCCCCAGACAAACTGGGTATGGCCTGAGAGGTAGAAGGAGAACCACTGTAGAACCGTGCCCCCCCCCCCCCACCCCCCCCGTCGTCGCAGTAGGATACCATGGTCGATGGTATCAAAAGGTTGTAAACTGGGGCAAAATTTACTTAACAACTGTCTCAGCAACTGAAATTTTATGCTCAAGTGTGGTTGTAAGTTGAGGACTACCTGTATAACTTCCAGAATTTCTAATCAAGATTACCTCCTTTCTTAAAGACATCTGTTCTATGGATACTTGCATGTAATGCAAATCTAGGATAGAAAAAAGCTACTAGTCTCAAGCCTTTTACTTTTAAACAATAAGGTGATTTCTTCAGTTTAGGAAGCAGAAAGTTTGGGGAAAATAGCAAAGAAATTATGCTGAACATTATTTGACCTGTTGTTGTGGGCAGAACAACAGATGAGAGGCGCACATATAAACATTTCATATAATGTGCTATAACACTAACAAGCACCTTCTCATACGGCATGCAATTATTCCGAAAAACCCTTCATGTTTCTCTTGATATTTACCTAGATAATTCAACATTTTTGTGGCAGATGGGTGCATAAGACCTACATTGTTAATGAGGGAGATCCACCTGCTGATCAATGAAACAGAAACCAGTTCTTAAGGCACAAAAAAACTCCAAAAGGGATATTAAAAAGAAGGCAGATGCCTAGGAAGTCTGGTGCACAATTTCTGAACTGCTGCTGAACAGAAAAGTCAGTCAGGCTCCAGAGGGGAGAGATAAAAAAAACTTTCTATTCTATCAATCTATGAGTGATTCAACATATTTTTTTTCTTTATCTCTCCATTTCCCAACTGCTCATGAATCGTATAAACTAACATAACTATGGAGTCTTTGGTGCTCCCAAAGCCGGACTCTTTGTTTATACTCTTATCCGTTTCCTGATAATGCTACCTAGCTGGGTAATGAAATGTCTACAAACAGAACTGAGCTCAGAGAGCGCCAAGGACACCAAGCTACAGAAGTTCTTTTCTATTAAAAATAAACAATAGGCATTGTCCTGGGGTCATGTGATCACCATTTGCAACCTTCCCAGGTGTATTTCAACCCGCAAAGTCAATGTGGGAAGCTGGATTCATTTAAAGACTGCATCATTCATTTAAAAACCATGGCAAAATGATAATAATATCAGGTGTGACTCACTTAACAGCTGCCTCGCTTAGCAACAGAAATTTTGGCACAACTGTCGTCATTAAATCGAAGACTATCAATACAATCCATCTGCTTCGTTACCAAAGATAGTTAAAATAATATTAAAATATTGAGTTTAAAAAATAAAAAGCTATTGCTACAAATTACTTCTGGGGAATTAGTTTTGGCTACACAGGTTTGATTTTTGGTATGTTTATTGTTCCATAGCAATGGCAGTAACATGGTTACAATACTTGATATACATGCCATGATGATTTAAGATGCGTTTGCCATACTAGATTGTATATTAGTGCATTTCCAGTAGAAGTATCCCGTCAGTAAAATCATGCAATCTATATTGGTCATAAAAGGGGAACACTAAAATTAAAATGTGCCTGGGGAAGTTAATTATCATTGATTGATATTTGCTGTTCTGTAAAGAGCCGTTACATTTTATTACCCATATAACATAAAATGAAAATGATCAAAGCACCAATAATAATAACAGCATTTTATGTATCATTTTAAATCAACAATTAGGTTGCAGCATTGCATAACCTGTAAATGACTATCTGTAAATGAATGGCAAGTCAGTCTGTCCATTGCTGACTCCATTCAAAATTATTTCATTTCAGTTCAAAAGATTCATTCTGAATTAAAAGTCTTCTAGAGCAGCAATCTGGCCAACCTTAGTTTTCTTCCTGGAAATTTCTCTTTCATAAGTGTCCTTTCCCCAAATGTATTTATTTATTTGCAAAATTTATTAGCTCTCCATCTTACCACAGTTACCACAAATAAATGCAAGAGAAGGATCTGAGGATTGAGAAGTTTTCTTCTCAACTTCTTGATTTAGAGAAAGCTGGATTTTATTTTACTGAAGACAAAAAGTATGGGAAATACCATTCAAACTGTATCCAAAGGTGGTTATGAGAGTCATAGCTTCTGCCTTTCTGCATCAAAACTGTTCCTTGGTTAGGAGTTCCAGAGAATCATAACTATGAGTCAGAAGCTGATCAGAAATTGAAACATCTGGGAAAGTTCTATGATTGCCAGCTTGATCCATGCTGAACAAAAGAAGCTGAATTTTAGTTCAATGGCAGCCAGGAAATTATCATCTCAGCTTGACCAACAGATTCCCAATAGATCAATTAGAAACATGGTTTGTAACATCTTGCTGTCAAACTGCCAGAAACCTAACATAGTCAAAAGTATTAAATGTTTTAACGTTAGATAAACAACTCTTAGATAACTAAGATATGTAAGAGTTCTTCTCAGTATGTGTTGCAACTTATCTTTATTTTAATACTATGCTCCGAAGTCCTTGATTAAACATTGGATTTCTTGTCTTTATCGGGGAACAATTGACCATCTCTAAGCTTGTCACTCTTAGAAGATTCTGCCGTTTTCTGGTAACAAACCCCCTTGTGGTCTCCATCATCACCATCCTGGTCTCCTGCAATGCTGTGATAGGAGGGAGGGATAGACTCCAAGGACGGTGTCTGTGACTCTTCCATCTTTCGGTTATAAGTTTCATTCATCAAAAAGGCAACGAGACCTTCCTTTTCTGGAGCATCTTCTTCCAGGATGTCTCCATCGCAGTTTTTGTGACGGTGTAAGAATGAGGCCTGCTTCATGGAACGTTGGAGCAAATGACTCCGAAAGGCTTTCTGAATGATCATAGCCGAAGTGTCCTCATACTTACGTCGGAGGGTGGTGGTGATTGGTTCGTGTGAAGCCCTGGATGGGTTAGCAACCATGAACTTCTCCTCCATCTGTTGCTTCAGTATGTCCATCTCTCCAGAGTCTCCCAGAACCCTTTTGGTGAAAGCAAAGAGAATGTCCAAGCAGTGGATTCTGTCTTCGCTGACCATGGGAAGATCCATTGCGATCAACTCAAGTTTGTTTGGCTTAGGGATGCGCAAGGGATCCACTAACGCGTGTGCAAAGTCAGACAGCTCAGAATATGAAATAAATTGGGTTGCCTTGGGGTCAAACTTCTCCCATACCTCATAAAACATTTCAAAGTCATCGTCCCCTAAAGGCTCGGTGCTTTCTTCTGTGGCCACGTTGAAGTTCTCCAAAATGATAGCAATATACATGTTCACAACAATGAGGAAAGATATAATGATATAAGTCACAAAGAAGATGATCCCCATTGCAGGGTTTCCACAATCTCCTTTAGAAGACGTTGAAGGAACGTTGAGCTTTGGGTTACAAAATGGAGGCCCAGTGTTCAAAATGGGGCTGAGGAGCCCATCCCAGCCAGCAGAAGTTGTGATCTGGAAGAGGCAGAGCATGCTGTTCCCAAAAGTCTCAAAGTTAAACATGTCATCAATCCCAGCTTCCCTGACGACGTATGCAAAGTTGGCCATGCCAAAAATGGCATAAATGAACATCACCAGAAAAAGCAGGAGGCCAATGTTGAACAGAGCAGGGAGAGACATCATCAGGGCGAAAAGGAGAGTCCGGATTCCTCGGGCAGATCGAATGAGCCGAAGGATTCGTCCAATCCGTACTAAACGGATCACCCGGAAAAGCGTGGGTGAGAAAGAGACTACAATCCCAGAAAGCACGTTACCTGAAAGGAAGACAAAAGGGATCAGATTCTTCCTCAGTGGGTGTAGACATAGCAATAGCAACAGCACTTAGACTTATATACCGCTTCCTAGTGCTTTCCAGCCCTCTCTAAGCGGTTTACAGAGTCAGCCTATTGCCCCCAACAATCTGGGTCCTCATTTTACCCACCTCGGAAGGATGGAAAGCGGAGTCAACCTTTGAGCCTGGTGGGATTGAACTGTCAAACTGGCGGCAGCTAGCAATCAGCAGAAGTAGCTTGCAGTACTGCACTATAACCACTGCACCACCATGGCTCATAGGCTAACACTAAAGAAAGAAAGAAAGAGAGGGAGGGAGGGAGGGAGGGAGGGAGGGAGGGAAGGAAGGAAGGAAGGAAGGAAGGAAGGAAGGAAGGAAGGAAGGAAGGAGCTCTCCATACTATTTCCATGGAAATGTTGGTAGAGCATCAATAACGCCTGGATATTTTAGTGCAACTTTTAAAACCAAAGCAATTTTCCTTAAAAGACATGCAATGTCTAATGAATCTGTACTGTTAAACTTGCACACTTTTAAAGTCCCTTGGTAAGATAATCATCCCTAAACATCTCAAAGAACATAACTCCTGTCAGGTTACACAATGCAAGTGGTCTGAATGATATGTTCCCCCAGTGAAGGAGGATCATGATTCTCTACCTTATTGGATGCTCTCTTCCTTCCACCACTGGAGCCCTAATCTGCTTAAAGCAATGTCTCCTTCAATCTTTTAGTTCTCCCAAGCCTTAGGCTAGACTAGTTAAAGCTCCTGTCTTTACAGACTGCATTCACTGATTGACCATTTTTTTCTGTATGTTTTACTTGTCCAATATTTACCTTCTCTTTTTCTCTTCTTATTCATAATGTATTTTATTATCTTTATATTGCTGTGAGCCACCCATAGTCAGTCGTTCTATGGTCCACCATGTAAATCATATAAATTAAGTCAAACTTCATTCCAATCACTTCATGCACAAATCCATGTAGGTTCTTTGAAACAATAGAAATAGTTTGCTACTGCTTTCCTCCAGAATATCTATCTATCTATCTATCTATCTATCTATCTATCTATCTATCTTATCTATCTCGATGATAGATGATAGATAGATAGATAGATAGATAGATAGATAGATAGATAGATAGATGTATTTCTCTTTAGCCAGGTTCTTCCTACGTAAACCAAGTGGATTGGGATTTCACTGAACTAGGGCTGCATAAAAATCTTGGTTTTTTTTTTAAAAACCAAACCATTTTATACCAAATTTATATTTTGCTGATAAAGAAAATTATATTTTGCTGATCAGCAAAATATAAATTGTGTGTGTGTGTGTGTGTGTGTGTGTGTGTGTGTGTGTGTGTGTGTGTCTATCAAGACACCTGGTCTACCCCAGCATGTGGGAGGGATCATGCTGCATCCCTTTCGCCTTTCAGCTCCAATAGATCTATACTAGTCTCCCTTTATCAGCAAAATATAAATTTGGTATAAAATATAAATTTGGTATAAAATGGTTTGTCGTGAATGTGACTGCTTGAGGGTCCCGGATTGGAGCCTTCTCTCTCCCTCCCTCTCTCTCTCCTTCTCTCTCTCTCCTACCAATGTAACCTACAACACTGAGAGGTCTCTTGTGCAAATACCAACAGAACCAACCCAGCATCTGATCCCATAGAAGGTCATCTGGGTTCTACCACTAGCCTCATCTTTGGATCTTTGGAGAGATCTTTGTTGGGTTTGGACCATAGCACCAAGTGCTATTGCCTCCTGTCCCTTTGGAGAGAAGTAGACACCAAAATGCCTCTGTAGGTATATGGCGGTGTCCAGTTGGGCATAACAAAGAGCTGCGAGGGAGATGTTTCTTTAACCCTTGACACCATTTATTTCAGTAGGCAAAATTTAACTGTGGACTTCAAATGTTTTTGGTGCTTAATTCTAGCTGGCATGCCCCCCCCAAAAAAAACCCCAGTAAGATTAACCTACCTACAATTGACATGATCACAACCACCAGATCAAAAATATTCCATCCATTGATAAAATAGTAATGTCTCAGGGCCACCAGCTTCATGACACACTCAGTTGTGAACAGAGTGATAAAGAGAACGTTGATCTTGTTCAGGACATGCATCTTCTCCTGAGACTGGTCATCTGCCTCCACCATCATTGTAATCATATTAAGGCAGATGAGGCTCATGATGGCAATATCGAACACTTGGTGAGTCACAATATCAAAAAGGAATCCTTGGTACTTGTTCTAGAGGCAACGGGAAGAAGAAGAAGAAGGAGGAGGAGGAGGAGAAGGAGGAGGAGAAGGAGAAGGAGAAGGAGAAGGAGAAGGAGAAGAAGAAGAAGAAGAAGAAGAAGAAGAAGAAGAAGAAGAAGAAGAGAAGAAGAAGAAGAAGAAGAAGAAGAGAAGAAGAGAAGCAAACTTGTTCAGGATTTAATATAAGATTAACAATCAACAGAAGAGATTTGTAGCTCAGGATTGAACTATGAATCCTGCGGTGCTCATTGAGTTTGGTCGTTTTTTGCAGTTGTTTCATGACCCAACTAGGTAATATCATCAGTGGTAGAAGGGAGTGGGGTTTGCTGAGAGGAGGAGGAGGTGGTGGTGGTGGAGGAGGAGGAGGAGGAGGGAGGGGGAGAGGAGGAGGAGGGGAAAAGGGAGGGAGAAGGGGAGAAGGGAGGAGGAGTGGAGGAGGAAGGGAGAAGGGAGAAGAAGAGGAGGAGGAGAGAAGGAGAAGAGGAGTGGAGAAGGGAGGGAGGGAGAAGGGAGAAGGGAGAAGAAGAGGAGGAGGAGAGGAGAAGAGGAGAAGAGGAGAAGGGGAGAAGGGAGGAGGAGGAGAAGGAGGATGACGACTGTGGGGTCTTTAGTGCTCCCTGAGCTTGGTTGTTTGCTTGCAGATGTTTGATGATGTTATCTAGTTGGGTAACGTAATGTCTTTAAGCAAACAACCAAGCTCAAACAGCACCAAGAGCCCCACAACAGAAATATTGTATATTTGGGGGGTGCGGAAGTGCATTGACTTTGCACAAACCCAAATCGTACAAAGCACCTTTCCACCTTTCATTAGAATAGTGGTTTATTTTTTAGATTTGCATAATAAAAAATAGTTGTGACTACTTTAATGACTCTGCTCATTAAAATCAATGCAACTTTTAAAGTAGTTGAAACTTTTGTTTTGGCTCATGCTGAAACTGCTTTAATGACAGCAGAGGCCCTCTGTGGTTTCCACAAAACCCAAAACACTTTTTCCAAATTCTTTCCAAAGCAAGCCCAGCCGTACTCATTATTTTCCAAAACTGATCCCAATAATTTATGTTATTTCTTGAATGCAATCAAGAAATAAACTATTGGTGCTTCGGTGTTATTTTCTTATCTGTGTAACAAAGAACTGTTATCTATAATAATTACAACTTCGACTTAGTCTTCAACTTATGGCCACAACTGAGCCCGAAATTTCTATTGTTAAGGGAGACAGTTGTTATGTGAATTTTATCCCATTTTACAACCTTTTTTGCCACAGTTGTTAAGTCAATCACTGCAGTTCTTTAGTAACACGGTTATTAAGTGAATATGGCTTCCCCATTCACTGTGCTGGACAGAAGGTCACAAAAGGGGATCACATGACCTCAAAACACTGCAACCGTCATATATATGAGCCAGTTGCCACGCATCTGAATTCTGAACATCTGATCATGCGGATACTGCAACAGCCATAAGTTTGAAATATGGCCATACAGTAAGTTACTTTTTTCACTGCCATTGTAACTTCAAACAGTCACTAAATGAACTGTTGTAAGTTGAGGACTACCTGTATTAGAGGGGAAGTTATGATGTAAAAGAAAAAAAAAAACCTGCTCTTCTTTAGGGCAGATCATCCCTCTAATCCTGGAAAAAGGTCTCCTGGATTGCTTGCTGGTGATAAATTTGATTATCCTGTCCATAATGAAATTTCTGCCACTTCTAATGTATAATCTTAGCCCTAGGATTCATTGGTTACCTCCTTATCTGGATTGCTGCAATGCGCTCTACATGGGGCTGCCCTTGAAGGCTACCCAGAGACTTTAATTTTCACAGCAGGGACACCTAGGTTTGCCCATGTAACTATATTGTGTGAGTTGCACTAATCTAAGGTTTCAAGGGTTAAGAATTTTATGATTAAAGAATTGGCTTCAAATTTTGTAAAAATGAAAAGAAAAAGGCTAAGGTTGTATTATCTTTGTGATCTATTACATCCAAAAAAATAAAGTCAGGAATCATTTTCTCTTTCTCTCCTTGCCCCGTTCTCTTTCCTTTTCTTATTTCCCAAATTTTTATTTCTTCTATATTTTTATCTTATAATGAAACTTAATAAAAACCTATTTAAAAATGGATCTATATCAGTCCATTAAACCTGACTATTAAGTAGAATAGAATAGAATAACAGAATAATACAGTTGGAAGGGACTTCGGAGGTCTTCCAGCTCAAGCAGGAGACCCTACACAGCATTTCAGATAAAGTAGATTGATTTGAAGTTGGTAGCCCTGTTTATTTTTGCAAAGTTATTCTATGGTAAACCTTTAGAGAGTATTCTTACCGTTGGCCTTGGTATAGGCTTTTGAGGTTTCTTTGATCCCAGTTTTTTCATGGCATTATAGTACTTTTTTTGTTCTTCTGTCATAAAGATGTCTTGACCACCGAAGTACAAGGAGAAAGCACAACAAATATTACTGACAGTGCATTTTGCATTGTTTCAAAGCCAACAGTCTATTTTTGAAACATCACTCATGTTTCTTTTTTTCTGAAGCCATGCTAAATTATTACAAACAAATCAAAAACTCTTTGCTGATCCTATTGAAATCCTTACATTGTCCTAAAGCTAAGTTGTTCTCTGCTCCAGATTTGCTATTTTGAGAACTAAGAATTAAAAACATGAAAATGTTTTCATCCCAATAGTGTTTGCCTCCTAATATACATGTTCCAATTTTACTGCCCTACAATAGAACTGAAATTTCCCCATTCCACACACACATACACACCGCAAAAAAAGAGAGAATAAAACTGAGAAGATTTTTCTCCTCTGACATTCACATAAAACTGAGCATTTTTCAAAATTTATTCCAAAACTGGAGCGGAAGAATCTGCAAGTATTCTATGTAAAAAAAAATAAGTTCCTTTCTGCTAACAGAAGAAAAAATGAATATAAATTGACTTCTTGATACCTTCCACCTATGGAAAGTCAATCAGGGGTGGCACCCTACTAACTCTTGAGATTCTCCTTTCCATTCCGCAAGCACAAAGCAAGACAAGAAACATGGATACTTATCTTTTTCTTTTGTTGATTAAAATTGTCAATAATGACCCCCACAAAAAGATTCAGAGTGAAAAAAGAGCCAAAGATGATGAAAATCACAAAGTAGATGTACATATATTTGCTGTGCTCCCATTTTGGTTGAAGCTCAACCTGCAAAAAATGAAGAACAGAGATGTGGCTTTTAGACTGGGGAGAGAAAAAAACCTTTATAGCTAGTCAAGAGCTGTGTTTGCTAGAGAAGATCTCTTAGTGCAATCTGACATATGAATCAACACAGATATTAATATTTTTCCACAGGTTGCAATTACATAAAGATAAGTGCTCATTATCTCAGAACAATTATTGTGAGACATGTAGAAGCGAGAAGCAAACACTTCAACAGTTCCTATTATCTAACCCCTATAGATAATCTTCGTTTTACGACTGGTTGCTTACCTATTCAGAGTTACGATGGACCCCCAAAAAGATACTTATCATCTAGATTCAAAGTTCCAACATGTGGGGGCCCCATTCCTGGTGTCGTGTAACTGCATTTTGAGCGGTTGGCAATTTACTATGTTTTTTTGTGGGAAACTGGTGCTTACTTCCAATTTCTGGCAAAAATCTTCCCATTGAGGACAATAGGTTCATTTAACGACCATGGTCTTTAATGACCACAAATTTGCTTCAAAAATGTCATTAAGTTGGGGTCAGTCACATGAGGATCTATTTAATAACTGGCCCAACTTATGATTGCAATTCCAAATTCGATTTTATGGCCATAAACACCATTGCTCCATGAAACCAGACACAATGAGTCTGATTAGATCTCTTGTTTCTGCAGAATACAGGAATAAGTTATATTAAATCTAAGATGCTTCACTTCAAAAATAGACATGTGCTTTATATTTCCCATTAGATAGACAACAACAACGGCTTCTTTCAATAGCATCATTTTCAACTCACAGATTTTATTCAAAATTCAAGCTCCCGAAATTATGGTGAGACAGTAATTCAGTCTCAGTTTGAAGAGGAAGAATCTGCAAGTGGGTAATTACTGTGTAATTATTCAATTACTGCAAGGAAGGCTAGCAATGTCAAACTAATTTTAAAAAATTAGCAAGCCCTACATAATAACTTGAATTTCTACTTTGGCTTATCTGAAGCCTTCAGCTTTTCCATTAAGCTTCTCTCAATTGGCTCTTTTATTACAACAACCTGAACATTGTATATACATCTGTATAATATGAGCTAGTCTGGGAAGTTGGAAGAGTTGGGAAAACAACCCAAAATAAAGCAATAGCAAATCATTTCCATACTTCACCAAATAAAAGACACAGATATGTCCAGTGTCCATGAATGGGGATCAACTCATAGGTGACATTACTTTACTGAGTTCTAGTTCTGCCCTAGGCATGAAAATGCCTACAGGACTTTTGAGTGTCAGCAGGAGACGGTGAGTTCTAGTTCCAATTTAGACGTGAAATCTAGCTGTGTGACCTTGGACCAATTACCAGGAGAGGGAGAGTTCTAATCCTGCCTTAGGCATGAAAAACCAGCTGGGTGACGCTGGGCAGCTGAGTGACTTTGAGCCAGTTCCCCTCTCTCAGCCCAACTGACCTCATAGGATTGTTGTTGTGGGAAAATAGGAGGAGGAAGGTATTTTGGACATGTTTGCGTCCTTTATTATTTAAAAATAATAAAGATGGGATAGAAATAAACAAATAAAGGAGCAGTTTGGCTTTAGGAACACTTTGTTTATCTTGGATTCCCACATCACTCTCCACTTAGTTAATAAGACAGAAATTGAAGAAGGAGATGTAATGGGAACCAGTTCCCATTTTGGAAAAAAAAACCAGCAGAATCTCTCCCTTTCTCCAGTTGTCCTTCCAATTGCATTTCCGATTCTGAAGCTTCTATATTTGTGTTTTCTTACAAATTCTATACCTCAGGCACAGAACTCAACAACAGGAAGAATTTAGCTGCCCAAACACAATATAATGCAATCCCACTTTATACCAGTTTACGACAATCCAAGATGAATCTCAAGTAGGTTTTGGATAGGAGGGATAGCTGTTTTGCATAGGTGCTGGAGGGCTTGCATTTCGCCTCCTATGACATTCCCAGATCCCCATATATTCCCCCCCCAAACTCCCCCCCCCCAAGAAATAAGCTGCATAGGCCAGGCATTTTAGAGCAAAAGTCAAAATGGTGAAGACAGGCAGTGCAAGTTGGGAGTGGCAGCTGAATAAGGCACCCACTAAGAGCTGAGGGACAGAGGTGTGATGGCTCAGTGGTTAAAGACTCTGAGCTTGGTAGCTGGAAAGCTGACAGCCCAGGTTCGAGACTTGAGCACCGCACAATAGGGTGAGCTCCTGTTACTCACACCAGCTCCTGCCACGTAGCAGTTCAAAAGCATGCAAATGCAAATAAATAGGTACACTTTGGTGAGAAGACAACAATGTCCTAGGCAATTGGCGCATTGTTGTGATGGCCACATGACCACAGAAGCAATTTCGGACAGCACTGACTCCTTCCAGCTAGGAAATGGAGATGAGCACTGCCCCCTATAGCCGGACACAACTAGACAGAGGAAACCTGCACTTTTATATAGGAGCTGAAGAAGTCCAACCTTTGACAACTACACTGCCAGTAACTGTAATGGGATGTGGAAATGACCTTGAGAGACCAGGCTAAGAAAACTACCTAGAAAAAGGTCAGATAAGAGGAGTATAGCCCACAGCTGCCTAGTGGATGGAGCAAGAAGCTCAGGAGGGACCCTTTCTGAGTTATTGGGCTGTTAATGTGGCTTTACTCTACACCGGAATGATCTTACACGGCCATGTTTCCTGCTTGGTCTACCTGGCAGTTGTGAGTTGTCTACATGGCAGTATTTGTATTGGGATGAAGTTGAGGGAAAACAGACTAGCTGGATTCCTATAAGAATGTACCACAAACTTCCACCTCCTATTTTAGTCTGCATATTAGTCACATGTTTTGGCAGTGTGAGAAGAGTTTCTCCAAGTGTAAATTGCACAGGTTTAGAATGGTTTACCTAAACTACATACATATTTTCTTTCTCACTAAGTTATGCATATATAGTGTGAAGATAGCTTTAGAAAGCATCTGGATGTCACCATCCTCTACAGAGACAAGGAACAGCCTCATATTTCATCTGACATTAATTGTGGCTGTGAACAGATTCTTTTTATTTATTTAATTTACTTTTTTAATATCTCACCTTTATTATTTTTATAAATAAGCTGATGAAGATACTCCTTTCTCCTCTTTTTTTTTTTTAATTTGATTTATATGTCCCCCCTTCTCCGAGATTCAGGGCGGCTTACAATGTGTTAAGCAATAGCCTTCATCCTTTTGTATATTTATACAAAGTCAGCTTATTGCCCCCACAAACTGGGTCGTCAATTTACCTACCTTAGAAAGGATGGAAGGCTGAGTCAATCTTGAGCCTGGCGAGATTCGAACCTGCAGTAATTGCAGGCAGCTGATCTTAATAACAGGGTGCTTTAGACCACTGTACTACCAAGGCTCTGTTTGGGCTAAGAAGAATGACTGGCCCACAGTCATCCAGTGGCTTTCATGTCTAAGGTGGGACCAGCACTCAGTACCTCCTGTTGATTGGCCCAAATAGCCAGATTCCCATGCCGGGGGAAGGACTGGAACTCACAGTCTCCTGATGATTGGCCCAAAGTCACCTAGCCAACTTTCATGCCTAGGGCAGGAGTAGAAATCACCTTCTCCTGATTTCTAGCCTGGTACATTAGCCATTAGATCAAACTAGCTCTTGAAAGATGCCTTTATATTACATTCCAACTGGACCATTGGTTAGAATTAACACAAGAAGTAGAAAATAAATTTGTCTAAGACTTACTCCTGTTGAATCAACTGCTGCATACATTATGTCCATCCAACCTTTAAAAGTTGCCTAAAAGAAAAAAAAAGGATGAAATAATTGCTGCAATGTAAATAAGCTGTTGGACAATGAAGGTTTTGAATTAGTCTCTATTCAGAACATTTTGGAGATAATCACATATGTGGCTTCTTTTTTCTATTTTTTTTTAGCCAATAAATTTTTATTTTTTTATTCAAAACATTAAAATACAATCTCCAAAAGGGGGGGAAAAAAAAAAAGAACAAAGCGAACTAAAAAACACACATATAAAAAGAAAATAAATGCACAAAAAACCATATACATGAATATTTACATACATGTACATACATATTTTAACATTTTGATTAAAAAAAAATAAAAGTATTGGTTAACAAATAAGACACCTGTGGCTTCTGAATTAGAAAAATATAAGAATGTCCACAAATTATGTTTGTCTCGTAAAGCAGGGGTCTCCAACCTTGACAACTTTAAGCCCAGCAGACGAAGTTAGGTTGCCGAGGTTGGAGACCTAGTTTTAGAAATTTTTTATCCATAGACTTTTCTTGAGAAGCTTACCAGTTTATTGTTGCCTTCTAGGATTTTTTAAATTTCCCAGGCAAATCTACATTTTTGAGATTCCCAAGTAGAGTCTCAACTAAGTACTAACCCAGACTAAGCCTACTTAGCTTCTGAGACCAGCCACAAATGCAAAAGATGCTGACTTTTTACCTTAGACCCTGAGCTGTCCAAGCTTGGCAACTTTAAGACTTGTGGACTTCAACTCCCAGAATTTTGATCACATGATCCTGGGGATTCTGGGGCAGTCATTAAGTGCAAGGACCAATTGTGTATACTTTTATTATAATATTAAGATTGAAGTCTATTTTCCGGTAGGATCCAAGTTTGATGCATTCACCACAAAGAATATTAGTGTATGATGAAAAATCATGTTTGGGACTGTTGAATGACCACTCATCTACTTCTAAAACTTTCATGAAGAATGAAAAGCAGAGTACAAATAAGCATGTAACTAAATTATGGCTGAGACAGGAGGATAAATCTGCAAGAGGTCAGGTAAGACAGGGTAGTTGTATGTGTGTGTATGAAAGAGAGAAAGATCACACAAAATTCTCAAACCTACCACTTGAAGAAGAGCCAAATAGCCCAGGCCAACATTATCAAAATTCACTTTAACGGTGGTCCAATACAGTTGTCCCGTGCTGTTTTTATTCTTGCAATCTGACTTGCGAAAAATAACGCTTTCATTGATAACGCTATTTGTTTCAGTCCGGTTAATGCATTTTCCAAATTTTCCGGCAAACAGGCTGACTCCAACAATGCTAAAGATGAGCCAAAAAATCAGGCAGACAAGCAGCACATTCATAATGGAAGGAATGGCTCCAAGCAAGGCATTGACTACCACCTGCAATGCAAAAAGGAGGGAGGGAGGGAGGAAGGATGGGAAGAGAGGAGGGGAGGGAGGGGAGGGGAGGGAGGAGGGAAGGGCAGGGCAGGGGGAGAAAAGAGGGAGGGTAGAGGCAGGGGGGAGGGGTGAGGGGGAGGAGGGAGGGAAAGGAGAGGAAGGGAGGAAGGATGGGAAGAGAGAGGAGGAAAGGGAGGAGCGGGGAGCGGAGGGGAGGGAAGAGGGAAGGGCAGGGCAGGGGATGAAAGGAAGGGAGAGAGGCAGGAGGGAAGGGGAGGGAGGGAGGAAGAGGGGTGGGCGGAGGGGAAGAGAGGGGAGGGTGGGAGGGAGGAGAGGAGGGGAGGGAGAAGTGGGAGGTGGGGGAGGGGAGGAGGGAGGAGGGAGGAGGGGGAGGAGAGGAGAAGGAGGAGGGAGGAGGGGAGGGGAGGGGGAGAAGTAGGAGGGTGGGAGGGAGGAGGGAGAGGAGAGGGAGGGGGAGGGAGGGAGGAGGGGAGGAGGGGAAGAGAGGGGAGGGTGGGAGGGAGGAGGGGAGAGGAAGGAGGGAGGAGGGGAAGAGAGGGGAGGGGAGGGAGGAGAGGAGGGGAGGAGGGAGGAGGGGAAGAGAGGGAAGGGTGGGAGAGAGGAGGGAAGGGAGGAAGAGGGAAGGTGAAGAGGGATGGATGGAAGGAAGGAAGGAAGAAAATTGGAACTTTTAAATGAATGCATCTTTTAATTGCAATAACTGTAAATCTAAATCCTCTATTACCAAGATTTTTAAAAAAAGAAATATTATTCAAATTCAGCTTTAAAAAATCCTATTCATCATTCTTTTAAAGATGTAGGTATCATCTTTGTTAGGGAATTGTGCAGCAGGTATCCAAATGAAGTCAGAGATGCTGCAATGAACTTGTCGTTTTATCTAAATAAGAATATTTTACATCAATATATGCCGCGAACAAGATAGTCAGGCAAAGAGGAGCATCATGAGGTAAATCGCAGCTCCCACAGAAGAAAAAAAGGTGGGAGGGAAAGGAAAACTCCCCCTCCACACCCACAGCAACCAATCACAGCGCAGATTGCCTCACGCAGGACCCAGCCCTCTCCCATCAATCAACTCTAACGGTGTTTTGTGGCTCATTGTATGACCCCATTGCTCCAGCTACTAAATTTAAATCTCTTAAGAACTTTCCAACTGAAACATCCCCAAACTGTTTCCACTTTCACCATCTGTCACATAGTGACTGCCTGAAATAATGACAGATCCCCTCCACAGAATAGAATAGAATAGAATAGAATAGAATAGAATAGAATAGAACAGAACAGAACAGAACAGAACAGAACAGAACAGAACAGAACAGAATAGAATAGAGTTGGAAGAGACCTTGGAGGTCTTCTAGTCCAACCCCTTGCTTAGGCAAGAAACCCTATACCAGTGATGGCTAACCTTTTCTGGACCAAGTGCCCAAAGCACATGTGTGCCTGCGCAAATGCGCGCTTGTTCACCCAAACCTCCAAAAAGCAACCCGCACGCAGGCCCCCTCAGACGCCCCGCATCCCCACGCATGCACAGCAAAGACCTGACGACCAGCTGTGGGGCATGCATGCATGCGTGGCGGAGCTGAACTGGGGCGACAGCTCATGTGCCCACAGAGAGGGTGCTACGTGTCACCTGTGGCACGCGGGCCATAGGTTCACCATCACAGCCCTATACCATTTCAGACAAATGGCACTCTGATCTCTTCTTGAAAACCTCCAGTAATGGAGCACCCATGGCTTCTGGAAACAAGTCATTCCATTAATTAATTATTCTCATGGTTAGGAAATTTGACCTTGGTTCTAAGTTGCTTCTCTCCTTGATTAGTTTCCATCCATTGCTTCTTGTCCTTTTTTCAGATGCTTTGGAGAATAGCTTGATTCCCTCTTCTTTGTGGCAACCCCTGAGATATTGGAAGGCTGCTATCATGTCTCCCCTAGTCCTTCTTCTCACTAGACTAGACATACCCAATTCCTGCAACCATTCTTCATATGTTTATTTATTGTTTGTTTATTTATTTATTGGTTCGATTTATATGCCGCCCTTCTCCGGAGACTCAGGGCGGCTTACAATGCGTTAAGCAATAGCCTTCATACTTTTGTATATACCTACTGTCTGGGTGTAGCAGAGTTGGCCATTGTGAGAAACATAATACACGTAGTCCTCGACTTACAACCATAATTGAACCCAAAATTTCTCTTACTAAGTGAGACAGTTGTTAATGAATTTTGCCTCGTTCTACGAGTTTTCTTGCCACAGCTGTTAAATGAATCACTGCAAGTTCTTAAATTAGACACACAGTTGTTAAGTGAATCTGGCTTCCCCACTGACTTTGCTCATCAGAAGGTCACAAAAGGGGATCACCCCGGGACACTGCAACAGTCATAACTGTGAGCCTGTTGCCAAGTGCCTGAAATTTGATCACATGACCATGGGAATGCCGCAACAGTCATAAGTGCGAAAAATAGCTTTTTTCAGTGCCGTTGTAACTTCAAACGATCACTAAATGATAAGTTGATGACTACCTGTACAGGTCTATGATGGGCTTGTCCTGGTCTAGTATAGGTAGTCCTTGAGTAAATAAAATTCTTCTCTTGATAGGACCAAATTAGTATTTTTCAACGCTGGCAACTTTTAAGATGTGTGAACTTCAACTCCCAGAATTCTCCAGCCAGCATCAATGAAGTCCCCACATCTTATTGTTGCTATTTTGAAAAAAAACTGGATTAAACCATGAATGGGGGAAGATCTCCCATAGAGGATTGCCTCAAATTGAAAGAGAGGTTCAGACACATTTCAGAATACTTACTTCAGCAGCATCACTAATTTCCATGCTCTGATAGAAAGGGTACATTAACTTTTCTGTACTCAAATATTATAGAGAGAGGATCATATCTGAAGTAGCCTCATTGCCTGGACCACTTTAAAATAATTACTTTAAGGATTGCAGCCTTTAGTTTCCATGTGCGACATCATTTACTCTGGCAGAGTTCATGATCTCTGTTAGCACTTTTGATTCTCTACTCTGTTCGGGCTAAATTGCTTTAGCTCAGTTATTATATACATGAACATAATCTCGTATCCATCAAACCAGGGTGACCTCTGAGGCCAAGGGCTCCCAATTAAGTATAAAATAGATTTAAGGTATCATGATGAGCTTTAAAATTTCTCTGTGGTTTGTTTATTTAAATTATTCATTGAACAAACACTGATGAAATAAGATATTACCTTTTATACAGATAGTATAATTTACTAGAAAGCTATTTAATGTAAGAGAAAAATATACACGTAGTCCTCATTTAATGGCTGCTAGTTCAGTGACTATTCAATGTTACGATGGTGCTGAATGATGGGATTTATGACTGGATCTGGAAGTTGCAGTTCTCCCAGTGTCCCTGTGGTCACGTGGTCGTGACTGAGGTGACCAGTGCACAATTATAATGGTTACAGGTCACATGATCATAATTTCCAATCTTTACTGCCGGCTTCCAACAAGTAAAATCCTGTCAATGGGGAAGCCTGCAGGATGTTGCAAACTAGGGTCACATGACATTGCACTTAATAAACATGTGGGTTTCTTCCTGTCAATGGGGAAGCCAGCAGGAAGTTGCAAGCTAGGGTCACATGACATCCTACTTAACAACAATTGCAACAGGAACTGCCATAATAAGTCAGCATGTTGAGATGTCTTCAATTTACAACCATTTTGCTTAGCAAAAAAAAAAACTGCCAGTCATGTTGTGGTCAGTAAAAGGATTACTCCTCTCCTCTCGTACACAAAAGAGCTTGTGGCTTATTCCATTGCATTTTATCAATAGTAGGAAAAAATAACTCGTGGCAATGCAATACGGTTTCAACGTTTTTCTAAGTTCAGTTATGGATTTAGTATACATATTCAACATCACTTGCTTATCCCTATTTGTAAGTAAACTGTAAGTAAACTATGGTTACGAGATTATGAGCAGGATTAGTGTCTAATTCCACAAAGTATATCTAGAATGGGAAAGTCACCCGTACTGTAACTAGCATTGTCCTCTTCGTTAATGTCATGGTGATTTGTCAGGGGGGTTCCACAGAGACTACTGTATATTGGGATATATCAGAGGCGTATCCTCTTAGCAATTTGGAATTGAACTATTAAACACGCAAGTAATCAAAAACAGCTCCTTGGAATATATGTCAAAAGCAACCGCAAACTAGAAGAGATAAGGGAAAATCACAGCACTCTGTTGCTGATCTCAGTGGAGATGTTCTGATGCCGTTTTAATTCATGGTGTTAATGAGTCTCATGTTCACTGCCTTCTGACATGATAAATATTCAAAATATTCAAAGTAATTGGAAAAAAATGGAATGAATATTGAAGATTTCTTTCCTGCATGCTCCATTGTGGCATACCCCATTTCTTCTAGAAAGCCTGACAAAGTAAATCAGACTAAGAAACCAATATCATGTACTTTTAATTGTAACCTTACAAGTCTGAACAAGCAAAACTCTCTTCTGTGGAGATTCTCAGTCATCTAGGTCATGGTCTCCCAAAGATGCTTTTTTTTCAAAAGGCAACTGGACTTTCTCTCTTTTTCCTTGAAGAGGTTTCACTTCTCATTCAAGGAGCTTCTTCAATTCTTCAGAACTGAAGAAGCTTCTTGGATGAGAAACGAAACATCAGAGCGGAACAGAACAATAAAGTTGGAAGGGACCTTATACTATTCCAGACGTTCTTTGGGCTTTATGGGTTGGATACACACAATCATAGAAAGAATAACAGAATAACAGAGAAGAATAACAAAGTTGGAAGGCACCTTAGAGGTCTTCTAGTCCAACCAAGTGATGGGATTCAAATTTTTTAACAACTAGTTCTGTGGGTGTGGCTTATTTGGGGGCATGGCTTGGTGGTCATGTGACCAGGTGGCCGTGGCTATGTGCATAGGGTCTACTCAGAGGGCTGAAGAAAGTCATTTCTGTCCGGTCCTCGTACTTTTGACCAGTCCTTGCACTTATGACCATCCTCACATTTATGCCTGTTGCAGTATTCTTAAGAACCATGTCACTCATTTCACAACTGCTTCTCTTCACCACGGTGACAAGATAGGGCGCAAAACGTAAAGTGTGAGGACAGTCATAAGTGTGAGGACCGGTCAAAAGTGCAAGGACCGGTCAAAAATAACTTTTTCAGCCCTCTGAGTAGTCTCTATGCACATAGGGACTACCCACAGGGCTGAAAAAAGTGATTTCTGACAGGTCCTCATACTTTTGACCAGTCCTTGCACTTATGACCGATCATCATTTATGCCTGTTGCAGCATTCTTAACTGTGTCACTCATTTCACAACTGCGGTGCTTCATGTGACCGGGTGAGTATGGCCAGGTGGTCATGTGACATCACTTCTTTGCCCTAATGACAGTTTGCTGCAACGGTCGTAAGTGTGAAAAACGGTCATAAGTCACTTTTTTCAGTGCCATTATAACTGTTGTAAATCAAGGATTATCTGTACAAAAATACAAAAAGCTTCTTTGCTTGCAAAAAGCTGCCCTAAATACCAATCATTAGATTAGAAATACCTGCAAACCGGAGTTACAAATCAGGCAGGGTGCCAGAGCACCTTGAGGAATTAAAATAGTTAAAACGCAGTGATAACTATCAGCAGCCAACTCTTGCTCATAAAGTGAAACCCTTTAGCAGAGAGGTCATTTAAGCTCTCCAGAATGAAGCCAAGGAGCAAACAGAGTAGCTGTTGCTTGTTAAACCAATTACCAGAACAAATAGACACAGAAACTAGTCGGATTTCCGAAACTGCTTCTTTTCAGGAACAGAGATTAACATTTTTCCTTCCAAACAAAGCTGAACTGGGAAAATTATTCCAATAAACACAGGATTAAACATCACCAAGCACAGAATTAAACTTCAGCAAAAACCAGTTTTAGACCAAACGTCAGAAAGGATATGTAAACTCACTTTTGAATGTCAATCTTTCTAGCTAGCCAAGAAGCCTTGCTGAATGTCACTCATCTTGGTTCCTTGTCATTAAAAGCTTCTGCTTCGTTATCCAATTATTTCTTCGAACTGCTGATCATTGCATCCTGGCTGGAAGAACTCCAACAGGGGAGTATTTCCTTTCAACAATGGTGTAAAAAACTTAAAACAACCCTTCCCCTTTAAGAAAGTCAAGCAAAAAAAAACAAAACAAAACTCCGAGAAGCTCCGGAACCAGAATTGACAGTAAGTCTAAGCATACTGCCAAGGGTTAATGGAGAGGCAGTTTCTATAAGCAGGGCAATAAAGATTAGGCTAGGAAACACCAGAATGTTGTAATTCCTTACAGGATTAACCCTGTAAAGTGGAAAAAAGCAAAAGGAGATTTCTTCTAACAACCGGTTCACTGAACTGCTTAACTACTTAACAACCGGTTCTACAGAATCCCACCACTGAGTCCAACCGACTGCTCAAACAGGAGATCCAATAAGATTCCGGACAAAGTGGCTGTTCAATCTCTTCTTTAAAAGGATATGATCAAAGCTCTATCTAATCATTTTTTTAATGTGTGCTGCATTTATAAGATTAATCGCCCTTTAGGGAAATCTCTGCTCTGATCCTCCGATCATCTCACATTTGTAGCAATAATTCTGAAGCTGCTTTAAAAAAAGCGGTGGTTTTCGTCCTTACCCGCATCCCTTCAAATCGAGACAGGGCTCTTAGCGGTCGCAAAGCTCGCAATGTACGGAGAGATTTCATGGGCACCATCTCCGATTTTCCAAGCAAAGGTGCTATAAGAGTTATCAGGGAGATCTAAAAGAGAAAGTAGGACGATGAATTGAAAGGCGTTACTGCATGCTTTCAATTTACCATACATTTTGCCTCCTTCAGGGCTAAGGATACACCAACCCAATACTTTTCTGCATAACTATTAAAAGGAGGCACCTTGAAAGGGTACAGTACGATTTGAATTTTTCAAAATATGGAAAATGGACCAATGAGATATTATCTAATATTTCTCCAATCTTGCATTAGTAATTTAGCATGAATATCCAGACTTGTGAGTATTCTGCTGTACAGATAGATGAGTTTTACCCAATTTTATGAACTTTTTAGCCATGGTTCTTAAGCAAACCACTGCAGTTGTTTTTATTTATTTATTTTTATTTATTTATTTTATTTTGTCGACTACATATTAGATAATATATATAAGTATACGCATGAATTGAATACATAAAATGAATGCAATTAAAGGGAACATTAGGACAGGGATGGTAGGCACGCTAGTGCTCATATGTATGCCCCTTACAGACCTCTTAGGAATGGGGTGAGGTCAACAGTAGACAGTCTAAAGTTAAAATTGGGGGGGATTTCGGATTGTTGTGCAGTCATTAAGCAAATCCAGCTTCCCCAAATAACTTTGCTTGCCAGAAGCTGACTGGAAAGATCACAAATGGTGATCGCCTGATCTCCAAGACATTGCAACCATGATAAATACTAAGTTGCTAAGCACCCAAATGTTGATCGTGTGACTGTGGGGACGTACAACAGCTCTAAGTGTAAAGACCATTAGTGACTTTTTTCAGTGCTGTTGTAACTTGAAACAATCGCTAAACAAATTGTAAGTTGAGGAGCATTTGTATTCTATTACGCATTTGATCAGCTTTTTCATTCAACTGCCTAGATGGCAAAATAGCTAAAAGATGTCCTAATCTTCAAACTTGGTTTGGTTTGGGTGGTTTCAGTGGAGAATTCAGCCAAGGATCCATATTAATTAACAGGTGATTGGAATTCACAGTTCTGTTACCCTTCTCCTAGTGGGAATTTCAATCATCTTGGGCCCCATGGCCAAGAAAAGAACCAGATTTTTAGAGTTTTTCTGAAGGTCAGGAGGGTTGGGGCCAATTGTTTGTCATGCAAGATCCTTCTAGAAGTGCTACAGTGGAAGAGACGTGCCTCCTGGGTCCCACCAGATGGCACTCCTTCTCCTTTCTTCATGTCAGGCATCATTTTGTACAGTACATCATTATACATCTCAATCACTCTCAGCCCAGTTGCCTGTCTTCAAATTTAAGCAGTCCCAAACTTGTAAAAATGTTCCTTCTCTTCGCTCTTCCTCCTCCTCCCCCCCTTCCTCTTTTTCCTCCTCCCCCTCTTCTTCTTCCAAACTATACAGAGAATTCCACACAAGGCTGCATCATAGATTACAATGAGGGCAGTTTTATTTCCGATCCCTTTCCATCCATCTCATGGAATTGTCTTTTTCCAGATCTATGCTCTGAGTGCCTTAAGCATGAATATGAATTATGCTATGCTTTAATATGTGGGCCATCTAAGCTGAAATCTTCAGTGTGTTGGCTCCATTGTCCCAAGATTTTGGCAATCAACTCATGCTCACTTGGAAAGCAGTGAGATCCATTCCATTTCAGCTGCAATACTTACATCTACAATCAGGAAATCAAGCCAGCACCAAGCATTGGTGAAATATTTGTGGAATCCATAAGCCACCCATTTCAGCAACATCTCTAAGACAAATATGTAGGTGAAGATTTTGTCAGCATAATCCAGCATGGTTTTAATATTCCTCCTTTCGCTCAAGTAAATGTCTTCAAATGCCTGAGATAAGAATGAACATATGAGTATTATATCTGCAGAATGTTATTAAATGTATTATTAAATTTACTATTTTTCTTATACATCTTCCTATCCCTTCCTCTTCCTTTCTCTCTCCTTTCTCCCTCCATCTCCCCACTCCCTCTCTCTTCCTCCTTCCCCCCCCACACACATATACATGCTGCTGGAACATTAGACATAATGCAAGGAAGGTATACCAAATATAAATAGAAAGTCCATGAAAAATCAGGGTGAAAAAATGGGATCTGTGAAATTTCTAACTTTTTTTAAATAAACTCCCTTTATGTTTTCGTCTGATCACAGCAATTTTTTCTCTTTGTTGTTGCTTTAGCTACTATTTTAACCCACTTTCCTTTTCCATTCTATTTCTCAATGTTCTCAGGCAATTAAGGATCTTGTAATACATATGATGATATACCAAAACCAATCAAATCTGACAACTTGGTTAGTCTAGAATTACGGATGCCTGTAAGATCCTCTAAGTCTAAATTTCTCCCCAATGCAGGCAGTCCTCAGCTGATGACGACGTTTGGGATGAAATTTCAATGTCCAAGTGATCTGATTGTTAAGGAAATCATGCAACTGCTAAGTGTAAGTGTTCAATTATTAAGTGAATCCGGAACTCCCCCCTTGTCAGCTAGGAAAATCACAAGCTGCAATAACATGGAGCCTGGATGCTACAACTGTTTTAAATATAAGCCAATTGCCAAGCACCCACATTGCCATTGTTTGAGCCTGGGAATCAGTGATGGGTTGCCCCCGGTTCACATTGGTTCTATAGAACCGGTAGTAAAACTGGCGGGAGGCTCCACCCACTGATCCTGATGTCATCAAAACGCTTCTGCACTTGTGCAGAAGAGCACGCGTGTGTGCAAGTAAAGTGAGTGCGCGCGCGGCTCCGTTACAAACCGGTAGTAAAGGTAAGTAGAACCCACCCCTGATGCAGGGGTGAAATGTAAAATGTGTTACTACTGGTTCTGTGGGCGTGGCTTGGTGGGGTGGTGGTAAGGTAAAGAGGTAAGGTAAAGAGCCTTGGTAGTACAGTGGTCTAAGGCACCCTGTTATTAAGCTGGTTATTAAGACCAGCTGCCTGCAATTACTGCAGGTTCGAATCTTGCCAGGCTCAAGGTTGACCAGCCTTCCATCCTTTCTAAGGTAGGTAAATTGAGGACCCAGTTGGTGGGGGCAATAAACTGACTTTGTATAAATATACAAAAGGATGAAGGCTATTGCTGAGCACATTGTAAGCCGCCCTGAGTCTCCAGAGAAGGGCAGCATATAAATCAAATTAAAATAATAATAATAATAATGTGACTGGGTGGGCGTGGCCAACTTTTTTTTAAAAAAAACTTTTCAAAGCATTTTTTCTAATGCTTTGAAAAGCCTCTGGCGATCAGGCAACTCAGCTGGGGTCGTCAGAGACTTTTCAAAGCATTTTTTTTACCACCTCTTCGGCCAAGAGGTTGCAGAAAAAAATGCTTTGAAAAGCCTCTGAGGATCCCAGCTGAGCTGCGCAATCATCAGAGGCTTTTTTTTTTTTACTTTTAAAAGCATTTTTTCGTCGGAAGAGATTGTAGAAAAAATGCTTTTAAAAGTTTTTTTAAAAAAGCCTCTGATGATCGTGCGACTCACCTGAGCGGGGGGGGCAGGGATTTTTGCTACCGGTTCTCCAAACCACCCGCCGCCATCGCTACCGGATCGGGCGATCCGGTCCGAACCGGGAGCATTTCACCCCTGCCCTGATGGGAATGCTGCAATGGTTATAACTTTGAGGAAGGGTCATAAGTCCCTTTTTTCAGCACCTCTGAACTGTTGTTAAATGAATGATCATAAATCAAGGACTATCTGTGCTGTTTTCAAATTATCTTTCTATGATTCCAGAAAGATTCTACTCTGCTGGCAAAGATGGGACAATCTGCCATTTTTGTCACATTGTAGACATAGTTTTCAGAACCATGAAGAATGATCCAAGAGAGATTCAGTTTTCAGTTGCAGCTATCATCCATTCCCCTACCCCCACCCCCATTGACTATTAATAAGGTGCTGAAGCAAATCCTGAACACTGATGAAATGAAAAAAGTCCATTTTGATATGATTCAAATAAGTGATAGCACAAAAATCTCAAAACTAATCAGATTTAAAAGCAGACTAGGAAGGAAGCAGGTATATAAATGGTTTCCCATGAAAACTTGATTAGACATTCAACCAGATCCCCAAAACAATGAGCTTTATTTTGAAAGAATTATAGAATGGATAAGGTGAGATCCAAACCGCTATGTTATTCCTAAAAAGTAGATCAGTGATGGATCAGATTTATAACGAAGCTAACTGCTCTCCTTTTGTTTACAGGTAGTCCTCAACTTATGACCACAAGTGAACCCAAAATGTATGTTGCTAAATGAAATCATTAAGTGAGTTTAGTCCCATTTTATGACCTTTCTTGCCACAGTTGTTAAGTGAATCCCTGCAGTTGTAAAGTGAGTAACACGGTTGTTAAGCGAATCTGGTTTCCCCATTGATTTTGCTTGTCACAAAAGGGGATCACATGACTTCAGGACACTGCAACTGTCATAAATACGTCAGTTGCCAAGCATCTGAATTATGCTCACATAATCATGGGGTGTTGCAATGGTTGTATAAGTGTGAAAAACAATCATAAGTCACTTTTTCCAGTGCCGTTATAACTTTGAGCAGCCACTAAACAAACTGTTATAAGTTGAGGACTACCTGCATTTGTCCACATTGGTGTTTCTCAATTTCAACATCTTTAAGATGTGTGGACTTCAACTCCTACAATTTCCCAGCTAGTATGCTGGCTGGAGAATTGTGGGAGTTGAAATCCTTGCATTTTAAAGCTGTCAAGGTTGAGAAACCATGTTCCACATCGTTCCTTATTGGAAATGACAATGTACTTTCCTTTCTTGTCCTACAGTTAATGTTAAAGAAAAAAGAATTAACATACCAGCGCTCCACTACTTAACAAAATCATGAACACAATGAAGCTTTCAAACCAGTTATGTTCCACAATTTGGTAACATGTCTTTCTTAAATTCCACCATGTTTTCCCTGGAAACTTTGTAGTATTCACGGAACACCAAGGATAACGGCGAACACATCCTGAAAGAGTCACAATGCAAAGTTACAATGCAAAATTACTGCACAAAAAGGCAATTCTCCTAAACAGGTTAATAGTATTTTTTTAGCTCCACATCCTGTCTTTCAAGATGCTTGGTGAAGCTCTCTGAGAAACCACGACTAATCTAGTTGGCCATACTGTCTGAGATGATGAAAGCCATCATTTCTGGATGAAGAAGTGTTCAAAAGCAATTGTAGCTTGAATTGAGGGGAGGGGGACTAATAAAATTCATAGGGTTCCACGTGGTCCTCAACTTACAACCAGAACTGACCCCAACATTTCCATTTGCAGTTGTTAAGTGAGTTTTGCCCCGTTTTATGACATTTTTGCCACAGTTATTAAATGAATCATGTACTCATTAAGCAAATCTGGTTTCTACCATTGACTTTGCTTATCGGAAGCCAGCTGGGAAAGCTGCAAAAGGGGATTGCATGATCCTGGGACCTGGCAACCGTCATAAATACATGCCTATTGCCAAGCACCAGAATTTTGACCACATGATCATGGGAATTCTGCAACTGTAAATGTGAAAAACAGTCAGGTCGCTGTTTTCAGTGCCACTGTAACTTTAAATGATCATTATATGAACGGTTGTTAGTTGAGGCCTACTATAATACCTTACTATAGTTCAAAATCAAATATGTATCTTCAGAAAAGTTGATGAGATTATCTTAGATTTTTTTTAAAAAAAAGGTGGAAAAAATTGGATGAACTTGGCGATATACCTGCCAAGGTGCTTTTTCAAGAGGCAACTTGGACTTTCTTCGTTTCTCCTTGAAGGCATTTCACTTCTCATCCAAGAAGCTTCTTCAGTTCTGACTGTCTGGGCTGTCAGAACTGAAGAGGTTTCTTGGATGAGAAGCAAAATGTCTTCAAAGAAAAACCAAGAAAGTCCATTTACCTTTTGAGAAAGCACCTTTGGGACTGTTGTGGCTCCGTTACCTGAGCCTGTGTCATCGGCAGGAGAGGACTCCGAGAGTGAAGGAGAGGAGTGGGCAAGGCCTCCCTCTCCAGGACCCTCCTCTGTGGCAATGCCTTCGGTGTCTGCCGAAGGGCAAGAGATAGGGCTGGGGCCAAGCACGTCCACGCAGCCACAGGTGGACAGTGATGAGAGTAATGTTTCTTGGCTGGATCCTCGACAGCGTCGCAGAGATAAGTGCGTGCAACAGAAGAAAAGGCGTGCCCGAGATTAGGCTGAGTCACTGGACCACACCCCACAGGGTATAAAAGGGAGTGTGGTGGCCAGTCAAGCCTTGTGACGAACAAAGCTGAAAGCTTCCACGCCATTCTGCATTGCCAGACTTTTGCTATAGACTTTGCTGGATTATATTTGGACTTAAGTTACTCTGTAATTATTGAACATTTTACTTTGATGTACCAGAAGCGGAGAGACGTTATCTCTTCGTGAGTAATAAACTCTTGGCAGGCAGCTACTAGGTTGCTGCCAAGTTCCGTTATCATAAGGAAAAGGATTTTGTCGGCTGGTTTGGTTTTTAACTCTTGGACGTCTGTTGGTGTGTGTGTATGTGAGACGGGGACAGAACAGGGACTACCATGACCTGGATGACTGAAAATCTCCATAGACATCTACCATCTTAGGGTTAGAAGTAAGAAGAATCATGTAAATTAAGTCAAAGACAAAATACCATGTTTCCCCGAAAATAAGACTGGGTCTTATATTAATTTTTGTCCCAAAAGACGCATTAGGGCTTATTTTCTGGTTAGGTCTTATTTTGGGAGGAAATACAGTACTAAATGCACCCATCTGGCTGACAATCTTAACCGGGGCTTATTTTTTTGGAGGGTAGGGCTTATATTATGAGCATCCTGAAAAATCATGCTAGGACCTATTTTCTAGTTGGGTCTTATTTTCGGGGAAACAGTGTAGTGTTAAGATGTGTTAAAGGCTTGTTGGGAAGAAGCAAGTCAGTTACTATAAATTCTTAAGTTTTAAAGTCAGAATTTCTCTCATCCCATCTAAGATGCACGGATCTTTGGACTGGCAGAAGAGAAATCAGCTGTGCAGTCCTTGAAGAAATTGGATATAATTTTCAAAGAGCCACACTTTAAAAGAAATTCAAAGTGGGCCATTTGGATGATGCTCTGATATGTCTGTGAATCCGTATATCAAAACCTGAATGACGGTGGGTGTGGGATCATGAATGAAGCCTTGCCCCTTAAAATGTAGAGGATCCTTGAGTTATGACTATAATGGAGCCTGCCCATCACCATCGTACTGTAAGTCATGATAGTCACAACATAGGTTGTCATGTAACCAGACCTATTTTTACAATCTTTTTTTGCAGAGATCATTAACATCACAGTCCTAAAGTGACCGCCACAGTAGTTAACTCAATGTTGCAGTCATTAAGGGAATCAATTATTTCCCATCAGGCTTTTTTTTTTTTGCCTGAAGTAAATGCCAATTTTTGGCAAAAAAATATTGTAAAACATACTGGGGCATTGCAAAGGGGTGTAAATCTGGACCAATTATTGAGTGTCGGAAGTGTGGTCATGTTACTGGCAGGAGGGCAGCCATCAGAACTTCGGAAGTGGGTCAAAAGCATCACGGGGAGGTTTGTTTTAAGTTCAAATGGTTGCTAGGCGTCCGGTCATAAATTGAGGACTACCTGTACATATGAACATACATGAGAGGTGGGGATTCAATTACAAATGTCATGCTCACCATCCTGTAGATTCTGACACACAGACCCACATATATCCCTGGTGACATCCTTACAATTATTATATGATATAAATCTGTCAAGGGGCTCCTTACTTTCTGGGAAACAATTATCTGGCTGCTTGAAATCCTCATCGAGCTCAGAGTTGTTCTTCACGAATTCATCTGGGTCTGTCAGATCCACAGTGCTGCCTTCTGAACAACTGGTTGAGTCGGCATTCTACAAAATCAAAAAGATAGGCCAGATGTTTCCATTGGGTCAGATGTCCCTCGGCATTTCTGGATCAAATGCTTAGAGAAGGCACTACCATTTTTTAAACATGGAATGGTAGAATCGGGGTTCTGCGATGATCTGGACTCATATGGCAAAAGTAATTTGAAGAATGTAAGACTTTAAAACAGGGATCAGCAACCCGTGGCTCTGGAGCCGCGTGTGGCTCTTTCATCCCTCTGCTGTGGCTCCCTGTCGCTCAAAATATATGTCACAACCGCCAATGTGCAACACGGCCAGCATATGATTTATTTATTTTATTTTTATTTTATTTCGAATTTATATACCGCACCTTCTCTTGAGGGACTCAGGGCGGTGTACAGCCAGATAAAAACATACAATATAAACATTAAAAGCAAATAAAAAGATATATATTAATTTGGCCCCAATTTAAAATAACAAACCAATTTAAAAAATTTAAAAAAATATATATTAAGCCAGCCCGGCTTGCTGAAAAAAGAAGGTTTTAAGGGCATGGCGGAAGGCACCGAGGTCTTGGATTCTCCTTATCTCAGGGGGCAGCTGGTTCCAGAGGGTAGGTGCCCCCACAGAGAAGGCCCTCCCCCTCGGGGTCACCAGCCTACACTGTTTGGCTGATGGCACCCCGAGAAGGCCCTCTCTGTGGGAGTGCACAGGTCGGTGGGAGGTCATCAGGGGTGGCCTGGGGTGGAGATGTACAGCTGGGTGTCATCAGCGTACTGATGGTACTTCATCCCAAAGCCACAGATGATCCACCCAGCGGCTTCACATAAATGTTGAACAGAAGGGGCGAGAGGACCGACCCCTGAGGCACTCCACAAATATTGAGCTTTTCGACCCCCGGTAGGCCAAGCACGGATAAATCCAAGAAAAGAAAAGTTTCAGAAGAAAACAGAACGTTTAATTCAACTACATATGCTACTTTTGTGGCTGCTCAGGAAATAGTCAGGCACGGGAAGGGTTTTGTGGTTCCCGGTGTTTTCTTTTCTGTGGGAAACGGGTCCAAATGGCTCTTTCAGTGTTTAAGGTTGCCGACCCTTGCTTTAAACCAAACCAGATGTGTTCTTTTCTCAAAGGCCATTGCCAGATCACAGAACATATCCATGGATACGTTAGGCAGATTTTGATCTCAGCACAATCTTAGTTAATACAGGTAGTCCTTGATTTACAACAGTTCATTTAGTGACCGTTCAAAGTTACAAGGGCGCTGAAAAAAAGTGACTTACAATTGTTTTTCACACTTATGGCTGTTGCAACATCCACATGGTCACATGATCAAAATTCAGCTTGGCAAGTGACTCATATTTATGTCAGTTGCAGCATCCCAGGGTCATGTGATCCCCATTTGTGACCATCTGACAAACAAAGTCAATGGGGAAGCCAGATTCATTTAACAACTAACTTGAAAACTGCATGATTCAATTAGCAACTGTAGCAAGAAGAGTCATAAAATGGGGCAAAATTCACTTAACCACTGTCTCACTTAGAAACAGAAATTTTGGGCTCAATTCTGGTCATAAGTTGAGGACCAGGGGTGAAATGCTCCCGGTTTGGACCGGATCACCTGATCCGGTAGCGATGGCGGCGGGTGGTTCAGAGAACCGGTAGCAAAAATCCTTGCTCTCCCCCATGCTCAGCTGAGCTGTACAATCATCAGAGCCTTTTTTTTTTCTTTTAAAAATATTTTTTAAAAATATTTTTTAAAAAAGTTGGCCACGCCCACCCAATCACATTACTCCCCCCCACCAAGCCACGCCCACAGAACCGGTAGTAACAAATTTTACATTTCACCACTGTTGAGGACTATCTGAAAATTCCCCTTGAGATTGAATTAAGCCCCTGAAACAGTCTCCTTTAACTATCGGGGTTCTGATTTGTTACTGAACAGATAGTCCTCAACTTATGATCATAATTGGGAAAAGGAATTTATGTTGCTAAGCAAAGAGGTTGTTCAGTGATTCGTGCCTGAATTTATTATCTTTTTTGCCACGGTCGTTAAGCAAACCACTGTAATTAAGCGAATCATGCGGTTGTTAAGCAAATCTGCCTAACTCCCATTGACTTGGCTTGTGAGAAGCAGGCTGGGAAGGTTGCAAATGGGGGATCACATGACCCCAGGATGCTGTCAATACCTTGCATGTCAGTTGCCAAATCTGAATGTTGATCACATGTTTATGGGGATGTTGCAATGGTCATAAGTCCTATTTTTAACACCATTGTAACTTCAAGTGGTTGCTAAACAAATGGTTGTAAGTCGAGGACTGCCGGTATTCCTTTTCAGCTAACTCATTTCAAAATCACTTGGTTCTGTACCGTTGTGGTTATCATCATTATCAGTGGTGGGTTCCAACTGGTGTTACCACTGGTTCTCTTCGCGCACACGCTTTGCGCGTGATCGCCGCACGCATGCTTGCTTTGCTCACATGTGCTCCGCGCAAGCGCGTTATGTTTCCGGCGCGTTAGGTTTCCAGCTGAGGTGTGGCAATCCACTCTGCCACGCCTATCAGCTGGGCTAAAAAACAAGAAATAAAGGTAGGAATAAAGTGTGACGTGGCGGGAAGGCCCATCTCCCAGTCAAAGAGAACCGGTTCAGTGACGTCACATCATCACCACTACCGGCTCGGCCAAACCGGGCCAAACCGGGAGCAACCCACTACTGATTATTATCCTCATTTATTAGCTTTATTTAGACACCAGCATGTCAGTAGAAGTTCCAGGCTCAACCCTTTCTATATCGAGCTAGTCCTCGATTTATGACCACAACTGAGCCCAAAATTTCTGTTGCTGAGCCAGACAGTTGTTAAGTGAATTTTACCCCATTTGACGAGCTTTCTTGCCACAATTGTTAAGTGAATCACTGTAAATGTTAAGTTAATAACATGGTTGTTAAATGAATCTGGCTTGCCCATCGACCTTGCCTGCCAGTAGGTTGCAAAAGGTGACCAGATAACTCTAGAACGCTGCAACCGTTATAAATACGAGCCAGTTGCCAAGCATCTGAATTTTTGATCACATGACCATGGGGATGCTGCAATGGGTGTAAGTGTGAAAAATGTTTGTAAGTCAGTTTCTTCCAGTGATGCCGTTAACTTCAAACGGTCACTAAAATGAACTGTTGTAAGTTGAGGATGTACAGGTAGATAAAATGGGCTGAAAAAGATTGAGCAGCTGAGTTCCCCCAGATAATTCCCATATGGGAGGATAAAAGATCAGGTGCAGATGTGAAGGTTGAATTTTATTTTATTTTTATTTGATTTATATGCCGCCCTTCTCCGGAGACTCAGGGCGGCTTACAATGCGTTAAGCAATAGCCTTCATACTTTTTGTATATTTTATACAAAGTCAGCTTATTGCCCCCACAAACTGGGTCCTCAATTAAATTGATTTAAGCCTATATGCAGGAATCTTCCCAAGGAACCCCCTGCTAGGGGTTAAATGGAATTCAAGGGAAGTTGGACTTAGTCCACTTGTGGCTATGTAGAGATTCTAGGCTGATTCCTCTTTTGACTCCGCCCCCAGATTCTGTCACTCCTCCACCTACCTCTGAACTTTATCAATATACCACATTGGCAACATTTTTCTTGGCTGTTGTTTGGGGAGTGGTATTTACCGCTTTTTCCTTGGACAGCGAAGATCCATTTCTTTCTTCAGGGATAGAAATTTCTGACGTCCGGCTCCAGACTTCACAGCTTTTGGCCTTTTCTCCCCTCAAGCGCAACTGGTTTTCCTGCTGAAAATCACAACAGTTGGGATTCAAAATGACTTTATTAAGCCTTGGTTGCTTTGGCTACCAATATGGCCGCCACAATCACATGATCCATGGCACGCCTCTCTTTTGCAGGTGCCAACTCTACAGATGCCCCTGCCCAGAGTTTAAAAAACAGGATTCTGACCAAATTTATTTGTCTTCTTTTCCATATACAGGTAGTCCTCAACTTACAACCATTTGATTAGTGACCGTTAGAAGTTACAATGGCACTCAAAAAGTGACTTATGGGCACTTTTCACACTTACGACTGTTGCAGCATCCTCATAGTTACAGGATCAAAATTCAGATGCTGGCAACTGGTTCATATCTATGACAGTTGCAGTGTCCTGGGTCACGTGATCACCTTTTGTGACCTTGTGAGAAGCAATCTCAGATTCACTTAACAACTATGTTACTAACCACTGTGACAGGAAAGGTCGTAAAATAGGGCAAAACTCACTTAACTGTCTTGCTAAGCAATGGAAATTTTGGGCCCAGTTGTGATCATAAGTCAAGGACTATCTATACCGTTTTCCCATAAATATGCTCACACCTGAACCTTCCGTCCAGGGATATTGACAGAAAGGGAACCAAAAACAATCCCACGAAAAGGCTTTAATCCCATAGTTGTGGCTGCATTTTTATTTTTCCCGACACGCCTGCAGATATGTTGCAGCTGCTTATCCAAGAAAGAAGTTTTATTTATTAAATGTATATGCCATCCATCTCACTATTATAGTCACCCTGAGAGGCCTACAAAATGATTAAAGAATGATACAATATGTTATACGCATCTTCCTATAATTTATTCACCAGCATTTCTGCCGACAGACCTGGGTAGATATTCTGCAGGGAAATAGTTATACATTTTAACTCTTTTGTCAGATGCCAGATTTGCCATGTCTGACAATAATTTTGTCTTCAGGTAAGTAGCAAAGCCAGATCTTGATGAATCAGTCCTGACTCTCTAGTGTTTTTTGCAACCTGTGCAACATTAAAAAGTTTGGACTTCAACTGCCAGAAATCCCCACAAAACATGCTTGCTGGGGAATTCTGTGAGTTGAAGTCCATACACCTTACAGCTGCCAAGGTTGAGAAACACTGCTCTCAGGGAAATAACTAATAAAAAACAACTTCTTGGAATCAATCTCAATTCTGATGATTTCATGGACCCATCATAGCTATCCTTACATGGTGAGCCATTGTCTTCTTCAAAGACGTGGTTTCAATTTCTTCACCAAGGAATCTCCTGTAGATCTCCTACTGACTCAGCCTGACCTTGTAATCTGCTGAGATGACCCAAATCTAGCTTCTAACCTGCTTCGTGCACTCTGTCTCCACGACTGAGCCCAGATCTTCTGAGGCGTCGCTATCAGTTTCCACATGAGCAATCGGAACACAGACAAACACATTGGGATTGGAGATGAAGTCATCTTGGTTGTTCTTCTCACTCACTCGGGGGCTGCTGTGACCCTCTTTGGAATTATGACCATCGCTTCTCAGTTCTACCTCACTTTTCTCCAAGTCACATTTTACTTTCTTGGTGGCTGCTTTCCTCTTCCATCCCAGCGCTCGGAAGAAAATGCTCAACGTGGCCTGTTTTGCAACATGAAGCCCTCTGTGGATCCTAGCAAAGGCAATCTTCAAGTTGTTGGTCTCCCTGTCATCTTCTGGGAGCTGATTGAGATTATCAGTACTGAAGGAATTCAGCAGAAGGGCGATGAACAAATTGAGAACCTCAGAGGAAGGAGAAAGCAAAAAGTTAATAGATGCAACTTATTGGATGGATGGATGGATGGATGGATGGATGGACAGATGGATATAGGATTAGATAGGATAGGATAGATAGGATAGGATAGATAGATAGATAGGATAGGATAGAGATAGAGAGAGAGAGAGAGAGATACCGCAGATAGATATGTATGTATGTATGTATGGATGGATGGATGGATGGATGGACGGATGGATGGACGATATGATGACAGATAGATAGGATAGGATAGATAGATAGGATAGGATAGATAGGATAGGATACGATAGGATAGATAATAGATAGATAGATAGATAGATAGATAGATAGATAGATATGGATACAGACGGAAGATGGAGGATGGATATGGATAGATAGATAGATAGATATCGTAGATAGATAGATGGATGGATGATGATGGATGGATGGACAGATGATGATAGATAGATAGGATAGGATAGGATAGATAGGATAGATAGGATAGATAGAGATAGATAGGATAGATAGATAGAGAGAGAGAGAGAGAGAGAGAAGAGATAGCAGATAGATATGGATGGATGGATGGATGGATGGATGATGATGGATGACGATGGATGACAGATTAATGAGATAGGATAGGATAGGATAGGATAGGATAGGATAGGATAGATGATAGATAGATAGATAATAGATAGATAGATAATATGGATGATGATGATGACAGATGGATGGATGGATGATAGATTAGATAGATAGATAATAGATAGATAGATAGATAATAGATAGATAGATAGATAGATAGATAGATAGATATGATGATGATGGATGGATGGGCTGACTGATGGATGGACGGATGATAGATTTGATAGATAGATAGAATAGATAGATAGATAGATAGATAGATAGATAGATAGATAGATAGATAACAGATGATAGAGTAGATAGATATTGTTGATAAATAATAGATGAGATAGACAGATGATAGATAGGATAGACAGACAGACAGACAGACAGTAAAGAGAAGAAGGAAGCTCAGGAAGACTCACCACTAAATTCCCAATCACCATCACCATCACAAAGACCAGCAGGCACAGGGACCGCTCAGCTACCACCATGCAGTGCCACATGGTCTCAATCCATTCCCCACACAGGATTCGGAAGATAATGAGGAAAGAATGAAAAAAATCCTCCATGTGCCAGCGCAGTTTGCAAGCGGGATCTAACTTCTTGCAGGAGATTTTATAACTGCTCCCAAACAGTTGCATCCCAAATACAGCAAAAATAAAGACGATAATAGCCAGGACCAGGGTGAGGTTGCCCAGAGCATCCACTGAATTTAAGATGATTTTTATGAGGGTATTTAAGGTGGGCCAAGACTTTGCCAGCTTGAAGACTCTCATCTGTTGAAGACAAAAAAATCAAATCAGTTTCAAATCGGTTTTAACAATAACAGAACGATTTGTCAGGTTCTAGGTTCAAAGGTAGCTAAGGGAAGCGAGAGGTCAAAAAAGGTGAGAAAAAAAGCCACAATCAAGACTCCCTTTCATTAAACATTCCTCCCATCTCTGTCAGTGATCCGTAAATTGAAAATATTGTCCATTTACTGGTGGTAGTCCTCAACTTACAACAGTTCATTTAGTGACCGTTCAAAATTACAACAGCACTGAAAAAAGTGATTTATGACTATCTGTTTTTCACAGTTTTTCACAGTTATGACCTTTGCAACCTCCCCATGGTCATGTGATCAAAATTCAGGCACTTGGCAACTGACTCATATTTATGACAGTTCCAGTGTCACCCGGTCACGTTTTACGACCTTCTGACAAGCAAAGTCAACAGAGAAGCCAGATTCAGTTAGCAACCGGGCTACTAACTTATCAACTGCAGTGATTCACTTAAACAACTGAGGCAAGAAAGATCGTCATGGAAATGGAGAAAAACTCATTTAACAAATGTCTCACTTAACAACATAAATTTTGGACTCGATTGTGGTTGTAAGTCGAGGACTACCTATAGCTCCGAAGCCACAGAACAAACAGTTACCAGCCTCAAGGTTCTCAGGACAGAAAAGCTGCCCTTTTTCCCGCCTTTCTTTCCTTTCTTGTTCTCTTTCGTCTCGGTAGACGTGCTCAGCTCAATTATGCTGATCAGGACAATCACGCTGTCAAAGACATTTGAGCGCTGCTGAAAATAATGGTAAGGGTCCATGGCGATGATTTTCAGGATCATTTCTGCCGTGAAAATCGCGGTGAAAATCTGTCAGATTTAGAGAAAGAAGAAACAGAAGAGTCAGTCCTGAGGAAAATGAGGGCTGCTTCATGTTTACTACATGTTTATTCTGTCTTCATTACTTTATTAAGTAACTCAAGATGGTGGACATACCTAAAACTCCTCCTTCCTCTTCTTTTTCCCACAACAACCATCCTGCGAGGTGGTTGGGCTGAGGGAGAGTGTCTGGCTTACCCAACTCGCTTTCATGCCTAAGACAGGACTAGAACTCTCCATCTCCTGGTGATTGGCCTAAAGTCATCCAGTCGGCTTTCATTCCTAAGGCAGGACTAGAACTCTCAGTCTCCTGGGCCTTTACCAATAGAACAAACTGACTCTCTCTGTCTTCCATATATTCAGTTCAGCCTTTGTTTGTCACAGTCATGTGATCTGAGAGGGTATTCAGCCGGTTCGGAATGGTTTACCTGAACTGGTAGCTGAAATTGCGGGTGAGCCCGCCCATCCGCCCTAGGTCTATACCAGGGGTCAGCAACCTTAAACACTCCAAAAACCACAAAGATCCTAATCGGAAGCCCCCATTCAATTCTGGAGCCGACCGGAAGTCCGGTTCCCCCATCATAGTCTCCTCCTAGCGCGGCGTCCTTTTTCCTCTGCTGACTGGAAGTCCAATTCCTCCCACCATAGAGTGTCCTCCTAGCACGGCGTCCTTTTTCCTCTGCCGACTGGAAGTCCAATTCCTCCCACCATAGAGTGTCCTCCTAGCACAGCATCCTTTTTCCTCTGCCGACTGGAAGTTGGTTCCCCCATCATAGAGTTTCCTCCTAGCACAGCGTCCTTTTTCCTCTGCCGACTGGAAGTCGGTTCCCCCACCATAGAGTCTCCTCCTAGCACAGCGTCCTTTTTCTTCTACCTGTCCTAACCGAAAGCCCTATCAATTGTGGAGCTTACCAGCAACAGGGAGCCACAGCAGAGGGATGAAAGAGCCACATGCAGCTCCAGAGCCACGGGTTGCTGACCCCTGGTCTATACCATCCTATTTAGACATGGTTTTGAAGCCGGGCACATGCACGGAAGGTGCGCACACAAGCAAAGCGCATGCGCAGAAGGTCGAGCGCATGCACGGAAGGCAGATGCGTGTGCGAACTGGGAGCGCGCGAACTGGGCACGCACATGCACAGCGAACTGGTAGTAACATCATCTGAAACCCACCGCTGCATGTAATCCATGATTGGTTGTGTTCTGTCCCCAACCCCACGCACACACACCAACAGACGTTCAGGAGTTAAAGACCAAACCAAGTTCCTTATGATAACGGAACTTGGCAACAACCTTGGCTGCCTGCCAAGAGTTTATTATTTACAAAGAGGAGAGACAACTTCTCCCCACTTCTGATACATCAAAGGAAAGCAGCAGGGGTTGGGGACAGAACACAAAGGAAAGCAGCTACAATCAAATCCAGAGATAATCCAGTTTTAAAGCAAAAGTCCGGCAATACAGAATGGCGTGGAAGCTTTCAGCTTTGTTCGTCACAAGGTTTGACTGGCCACCATGCTCCCTTTTATATCCTGTGGGGTGTGGTCCAGTGACTCAGCCTAATCTCGGGCACGTCCTTTCTTCTGTTGTGCGCGCTTATCTCTGTGACGCTGGCGTGGGTCCAGCCAAGGCTCATTACCCTCATCACTGTCCATCTGTGGCTGCGTGGACGTGCTTGGCCCTGGCCCTATCTCTTGCCCTTCGATGGACACCGAAGGCATTGCCAGAGAGGAGGGTCTTGGAGAGGGAGGCCTTGCCAACTTCACTCTCGGAGTCCTCTCCTGACGATGACACAGGCTCCGGTAACGGAGCCACAACAGGTTGTTTTATTATTATCAATTCAAACAAAGGGAAGAGTCAACGGGAAGATTAAAAGTAAAGATGGCAGCTTTCACCACACAATCAAAGACTTGCCACCTTTTTATCAATACAGGTAGTCCTCGACTTACAACAGTTCGTTTAGAGACTATTCAAAGTTACAGTGGCACTGAAAAAAATGACTGACCATTTTTCATACTTACAACCTTTGTAGCATCCTGATGATCATGTGATCAAAATCCAGATGCTTGGCTGTGTCCCAAGATCATGTGATCACTTTTTGTGACCTTCTGATAAGCAAAGTCAATGGGGCAGCCACATTTACTTAACAACCGTGTTACTAACTGCAGTGATTCATTTAACAACTTTGGCAAGAAAGGTCACAAAATGGGGCAAAACTCACTTAACACAAATGTCTCACTTAACAATAGAAATGTTGGGCTCAGTTGTGGTTGTAAGTCAAGGACTACCTGTATAACAACATGTTTAATATTTTTAAACAAAACCTCCCATCTTGCAACTACAACATTGGTCAGCTAACAGTAAATTAAGATTCTCAAAAATAATTAGCAAAGAAGTTGCAACAGTAATCAGTATACCGTGTACCAAAGATCCAAAGATATCCTTTTGTGTTTCAAATTAAAAAAAAAGAAATCCATAGAGATCTCCTAATACTCCAGCCAAAGGGATTGACCATATTTTTAGCATCTTATGGATGTAAAATAGGGGTAGGATTTGCTTACCATGTTACCACTTGAAAGAGCTTGTTCAAACTGGGGGGTCATTTTGTAGTGGTCCAAGGCCATGAAAAGAGTGTTCATCACAATGCAAAGTGTAATGATGAGATCGGTAAAGGGATCCATTACAATAACACCCACTTTCTTCTTTATTTTCTGCCACAGAGGGCAACAATTCCAGATAAAATACTTGCGAGCTAACTTGTTCAAGAAGCGAGGCCATTTTCGATCTGATTCTTCAAGCTCTAAACAAGGAGAGGAGGAGGAGGAGGAGGAGGAGGAGGAGGAGGAGGAGAAGAAGAAGAAGAAGAAGAAGAAGAAGAAGAAGAAGAAGAAGAAGAAGGAAGAAAAGAAGAAGAAGAAAAAAGAAGAAGAAGAAGAAGAAGAAGAAGAAGAAGAAGAAGAAGAAAGAAGAAGAAGAAGAAGAAGAAGAAGAAGAAGAAGAAGAAGAAGAAGTTATTGACCTACTCATTTAACATTTTGGTATGGCCCAACCTTTTAACTTTGGTTGAGAATGTACAAAATGTATTCCCTTTTTTTTTTTTTTTTACTTCTCTTCAGCTCATTCCCTGAAAAGATCCAATGATCTCTGATGAAATTCTGACATTAGATAAAACATGTTAATTAACTTCAATAATTGTAGGAAATTGAATGGTTAGAAATCAAGCTGTTTTATTTTTCAGCTGCTGTTCTTTGTGTCTTTTAAGAAACACTTTTGATTGCAAATCCCATACAATAGAAAGTTGGGATGCAAGCATTTGTAAAGCAAAATTGAAATAACAGACCATGAATAAAAATACAGCCACCCAGAATCACCTCACAGGGGAGATGGGTGGCATAAAAAATATAATAAATAAAACAAATAAATAAATAAAAATAACAGATTTTCCAAATTTACAATTCTTACTGGAAAGGAATTGCTACAATAAAAATCTTACTTACTTAACTATGAACCACAGCGACACAGTGGTTAGAGTGCAGTACTGCAGCCTACTTCTGCTAACTGCCGGTTACCTGCAATTTGGCAGTTTGAGTCTCACCAGGCTCAAGGTGAGCCTTCCATTCTTCCGAGGTCAGTAAAATGAGAACCCAGATTGTTTGGGGGCAATAGGCTGACTCTCTAAACCGCTTAGAGAAGGCTGTAAAGCACTGCGAAGCGGTATATAAGTCTAAGTGCTACTGCTAAGTGCTATTGCTATTTATGCAGGCACTCCTTGACAGCCATTCATTTAGTGACAGTTCAAAGATGCAACAGCCATGAAAAAAGTGACTTAGGACTGATCCTTGCATTTACGACCATTATAACACATTCATCAAAATTTGGGAGCTTGTTAACTGGCATTTATTTATGAGGTTACATTGTCCCAGGATCATGTGATCGCCATTTATTATCTTCCCAGCCAACCTCTGACCAGCTAAGTCCATGGAGGAAATTGGATTCATTTAAAGACCGCATGACTCACTTAACAATGATGGCAAAGAGGTCGTGTATTGGGCAGGACTCACTTAACTATCTTCTTCTTAGCAACAAAAGCTTGTACCTTCAAGGACACTGGTGATAATGCTGACCGCACTCGCTGCCCGTTGCCTCTGAAGCGGCTGGTTGTAATAATCAACGGACAATCGATGAACTCGGACCATCTTGTTAGCTTCCTCATACAAAGACATCTGCATAGCGATACATGCAATTATTGATTTAGTTATAAATATTCCTACTCTTTGGACACAGATATGACAATGTATACAGCAGGTAAGTCAAAGGATTCTTAAAGCTGAAATGTGAGTCCTATACAGGTAGTCTTCAACTTACAACTGGCCCAGTGGGTGGGTTCTAAAAAATTTTTACTACCAGTTCTGTGGGCGTGGCTTATTTTGTGGGCGTCGCTTGATGGTCATGTGACAATTCTTTAGGATTTAGCAGAGGTACTACCAGGCTTTTAACTGCTTACAGAACCGTACCGGTCTACCCGTTCGTTTTTGGAGGATTCCGGTCTACCCATTTGTTTTTCGAGTGCACTGGTCTACCACCACACTGCCTTTTAACACTGATCAGCTGTAAGGCGGCCCTTTGAAGCCCTGCGGCAAGAGTTTAAACAGTTTTTTTTCCTTCTAGCCGATCAACTGGGACTCAGGAGGCAGCGAATAGATTGGGGGCGGGGCCAAATAAAAAGTAAGAATAATGCGGGAGGGCGGGGGTGGGGCAGCTCCTGAACAAAAAGAACCAGTTCGTTGACGTCATATCATCACCGGTACCGGCTCGGCTGAACCAGGCCGAACCGGGAGGAACCCACCACTGAACTGGCAGCTTAGCAACTGTTTGAAGTTACAATGAACCTCCCAAAGTTACTTACAACCTGATTCCAGACTTCCAATGGTGGCATGTTTGCATGCATGCACACACAAACACACACACATACACACCACAGTCACATAACAGCATTTCTGGCGCATAGCAAATGGCTCAACTTTCCATCCCTTTCTGGCTAAAAAAGAAGCTGATAGAATATTTATTTATTCATTTATTTTATTAGATTTTTATACCGCCCTTCTCCCACAGGACTCAGGGCGGTGAACAGCCAAAAATAAAAACATCACATACAAAATTTAAATTTTAAAAAAGAATTAAACAAAATTTTGGCCCTGTAAGTTTAAAACACCCCAACTAAAATCCATTTACAATTAAAAATATCTAAGGGAGGAGAGGGTTAAACTAGCCCGGCTTGATGAAATAAGAAAGTTTTAAGGGCACGGCGAAAAGCACGGAGATCTGGGATCCTACGTATCTCCGGGAGCAGGTCGTTCCACAGGATAGGTACTGCCACAGAGAAGGCCCTCCCCCTGGGGGTCGCCAGCCGACATTGTCTGGCCAACGGCACCCTGAGGAGTCCCTCTCTGTGGGGGCGTACTGGCCAGTGGGAGGTTATCGGTGGCAGAAGGCGGTCCCGTAAATACCCAGGCACTAAGCCGGGTATATTTATTTATTTATTTACTTATTTACTTATTTACTTATTTATTTATTTATTTATTTATTTATTTATTTATTTATTATATTTCTATACCGCCTTTCTCCCATAGGACTCAAGGCGGTGTACAGTCAAGAAAAATATAGATACACAAACATCATAAAATTGCTGATTAAAATTATTATTATAACATAGTTTGGCCCAATTAAATAGAACCTAAAATAGATAACATTTTAAAAACATTCACATGTTCATATGTTTTGCCCCGCCTGTTGGAACATCAGGGTTTTGAGGGCACGGTAGAAAGCACGGAGATCAGGGATATTCCGTATCTCCGGGGGCAGTTCATTCCAAAGGGTTGGAGCCCTCACAGAGAAGGCCCTCCTCCCGGGAGTCGCCAGTCGGCATAATTTGACTGACGGTACCCTGAGTAGTCCCTCCCTGTTGACTCACTTAACGTTGTGTTCCTTTTTGAATTGATAAGGAATTGTAGTTCTTTTGTTCTGAAGAAGTGGATGGTAAATACAAAAAGCAACTTTAATTTAACCCCAATTCTGTATTTATTTATTTTTTTTACTCTGTTGCATGCCACCCGGAATCTGTAGAGCGGGAGGTGCTATAAGAACTGTGATATTAATAAACAGATAAGGAAATAAGGGTGTTAAGACATTGCAGTATTATATTATTATACAGTACTATGCAGTATTACATTACACAATATTATATTTAGCATTACTTTTTTTTCCTTTCAGACCATATTTCAAAATTCTTACTACTATTTTTTTTTAAATGGATAGTATTCCGCCAGGGAATGGCGCAGCAGGTGTCCAAATGGAGTCAGAGACACGGATATGAACTTGTAGTTCTATATAAATATAGACCTTGGAGGTCTTCCTAGTCCAACCCCTTGTTCAGGCAGGAAGCCCTACATCATTTCAGACCAATGGCTGGTCCAATCTCTTCTTAAAAATCTCTGGTGTTAGAGCACCCACAACTTCTGGTGGCAGGCTGTTCCACTGGTTAACACCATCAGGTAAATTGACACAGCAGGAACATCATAAGATAAACCACAGAACACACAGAAGGAAAAAAAGGGCGGGGAAAAGGGGAAACTCCCTCTCCATACCCACAGCAACCAATCACAGTACAGATTGCCTCACGCAGGAGCCAGCCCTCTCCCATCAATCAACTCTGTGTGTTATGGCTCATTGTACGACCCCATTGCTCCAGCTATTAAATTTAAATCTCTTAACATATTCCAACAAAAGTAGCCCAAAATGCAAAGAAATCCCATCACCCTTTTTCAGACTAACCAATTTTATTAAAAGACAGATGCTTTCGTGAGCTACTGCTCATTTGAGGCACAGAAGCAGCTTGACGGAAGTAGGATTTAAATTGTAAATGTGTACATTGCAAACTGCCAATGTGATTTTTAATATACAATTCAAGTAGTCCTCGACATCCTCACCTGGAAAAAGGAAGTTATGAACCTGGTTGCAAAATTCTGAAAGTCACACACACACACACACACACCAGCCTCACCCAACCCAACCCCCAGTCACAGGAACAGATTTTGGGTGCTCAGCAACATGGGCACATTTACAACGATTTGCATCATCCTGCACCATAGCAAACAAGGGGTTTGCTTAACGACTGTGGAGTTCAATTTACAGCCACACCATTCATTGTATGATCACAGCATTTGCTTAACAACTGCTGCAAAAAAGGTAATAAAATCATGTTTATCACATGACTGGCCTTATTTATGACTGTAATGTCCAAGCTCCATTACAGTCATATATCAAGGACTACCTATAGTACAGTTGTTAATTGATAGGTGTTTTTAAACTGTCATATTTAACTACAACTACCTCCACAACTAGCTTTCCTTCTTTCCTTCCCCCCCAATTCTACCCAACTTAAATCCTGTATTAGTCAAATTACTCTATGCATATAATGAAAGCAGTCCTCTGACATTAAGACTAAAATAATTATATGAAACACCATTGAAATTAACAATAGTTACACCATTTCAATGAGGTCCACACAATGACTAGCTTTTTTCAAATATATCTTACGAATTGCCCCTACGAATTACCTAAAGAGGTAACCTATAAATAAATTCACTAAATAAATATAATTCATTATAGTCAGAGAGAAAATCCACCTATCAATGTGGTTATTAGGAGTTAAAAATAACAGTGTTACTCACTTACCCACACACTCAATCAATCAATCAAATGATATTAATATACATGTAATCCTTGATTCATTTAGTGACCATTCAAAATTACAACATAAAGTTTGTAACTTTCTGACAAGCTAAGTCAGATTCACTTAGCAACCATGTTATTAACTTAACAGCTGTTAAGGTGATTCACTTAACAACTGTGGCAAGTAAGGCTGTAAAATGGGGCAAAACTCACTTAACAACTGTCTTGGTTAGCAACAGAATTTTGGACTCAATTGTTATAAGTTGTGGATTTATTTGTATGGTATGAAGTACAGTTGATATACTCACACAAATACGACTTCCTTTTATGAAAATATTAGTCTGTGTTGTCGCAAAAGACTATTGATCTGTGTTTCCTATTTGGGGTCCTTCAAAGGACATCTCTATCAAATATACAACAATGTGTACAACTCTAATATATAACCACATCTGCATCATGAACAGCCTATGAGGCATACATAATCTTGTGCATGAAAGAGCAAATAATTGCTAATATTTTCAACTCACTTGGCTGCTCATTTTGGGGTTTTCCATAACAGGAGGCAGCAACATGCCTTCTCCTGAAAGAGGTTCCATGTTCAAAGACCTCATTCCACCAGGTCCCACCAAGGAGATCATCCCGTTGCAATCATCTCCGGCGTTCCATCTACTGGACTGCATGTAGTTAGGAGTAGCTGGATGTGATCCATAGCTGGCTTGACTTTGGGTGCTTGGGCGCCTTACTATGCGCGAAGGCAAAACAGACCCACGTTGTAGCTCCAAATCCCCAACGCTGTTGGATTCGTCATCCCCAAATTCAGTCTTGGATCCAGTCTCTTTCCCTGATAGATGGAAACTGAAGACACTCCCATGACTTGGCCTCCGTTTTGCTGGGTTTGAAGAAGGCCCATAACCATAGCTGAAGATCTGCAGGGAACAAGGATGGGAGAAACAAAATGCAACCCAATATTGGCATACATTGGTTTCCATCAGCTGTGGAAGTTCTTCAAATAAATAAATTACTGGTAAAGGAGAATATTTACACCTCAGGGTTGACCTGTGGGGTCCTAGATGCTCTCTGAGTTTGGTTGTTTTCTTGCAGACAGTCCATTAGCACCTATGACAGTGTTGGCGAACGTTTTCGGCACCGAGTGCTGAAAAGGGAGTGCGTGAACACGCTTCACACATGCATGCTTGTCTGGGCCACAACCTGGAAGAGGCCCTGCCCAGGGCACATGCGCGTGCCCGAAAATGAACTTCCGGTTTCTGACATGCGCATGTGCGCCACCCATCTACTCTTCCAGGTTTCTGGCGTGCATGTACGCGCGACAATCAGCTGGCCGGCACACATGCTCACACAGGAAAATGGAACGGCTCTTCCAGTTTCCAGCACTGCCACATGCAAAACCAGCTGATTGTCGCACCCGCATGCACACCAGAAACCTGAAAGAGGAATGGTTGATGCTCTGCGTGCCAGGTAACATGTCTCTTTGTGCCACTTTGGGCACGCATGCCATACGTTCGCCATTATGGACCTATGAAATTACTTAGTTTGGGTAATGAAATGCCTGCAAGAAAAGGAGTCTGGTGGCGCAGCAGACTAATAGCCTGTTATTAACATCCAGCTGCCTGCAATTACTGCATGTTTGAATCTCCCCAGGCTCAAGGTTGACTCAGCCTTCCATCCTTTCTAAGGTAGGTTAAATGAGGACCCAGTTTGTGGGGGCAATAAGCTGACTTTGTATAAATATACAAAAGTATGAAGGCTATTGCTTAACGCATTGTAAGCCGCCCTGAGTCTCCGGAGAAGGGCGGCATATAAATCAAATTAAAAACAAAAAACAAAAAAACAACCAAGCTCAGAGAGTACCAAGGACTCCTCAAATAAAACGATGGACTGTGAATCTATTGCCCAATGCAACAAAAATATGAATGTCTTAGACTCTCCTTCAATAAAGAATGTTATTTATGATTTATTTCTGCAAATTACTTTGGGGACATATCTGTAGAGATTCTCAATCATTCAGGTCATGGTTGTCCTGGAAAAGTTGCTTTTCCAAAAGTCAATGGACTTCCTTGGCTTTTTTTTCTTTGAGAAATTTCACTTCTCATCCAAATGAGCCTTCTGATCTTCAGTTGAACTGAAGAAGCTTCTTGGGTGAGAAGCAAAATGTTTTCAAGAAAAAAAAAACTGAGAAAATTCAGTTGCTTTTTAAAAAGCACTTTTGGGACAACCATGATCTGGATGATTAAGAATCTACATAGACGTTTTCAGAGAAAAAAACCAAGGAAATCAAGTTGCCGTTTGAAAAAACACTTTTAGGATTACTTTGGGGACCTAGGGGAAAATATTTTTTTATTTTTACAAAAAAACAAAAAATCAGATTGCACAGTATGGACTGCTTTCCTATGTCAGAGAAAAAGATCTTGAAAGTCACTTTTTGAAGGTAAATTTACTAAAGACTTCCATGCAAGAGTTTTTAGTCAGCAACTGGTGATTACAAATTGCATATTAGAGTCAGTTGTACCAGTTTCTCAATTGGTACATTTTTCCCCCAACAGTTTAAGCTTTCAGTTTTGCAAGAGCCTTTTTTCAAGTTAAAAGACAGGAAGGTATTAAGAGTAGTCCTCAAATTACAACCACAATTGAGCTGAAAATTTATATGTTGCCAAGTGAAACAGTTAAGAGAGTTTTGCCCTATTTTACAACCTTCCTTGCCACAGTTGTTTAGTGAATCACTGCGGTTTTTAAGTTAGTAACATGGTTATTAAGTGAATCTGGCTTCCCTATTGACTTTCCTTGTCAGAAGGTCAGAAGAAGGCAATCCAGTGGTGAAATCTAAAATTTGTTACTACTGGTTCTGTGGGCATGGCTTGGTGGGGGAGGGGGGTTAATGTGACTGGGTGGGCGTAGCTATTTTTTAAAAAAAACTTTAAAAACCATTTTTTCTACAACCTCCTCGGCGAAGAGGCTGTAAAAAAATGCTTTCAAAAGGCTCTGATGATCCCAGCTGAGTTGCCTGATCGTCAGAGGCTTTTTTTCTTTTAAATGCCTCTGACGATCAGGCAACTCAGCTTGGATCGTCTTGGATGCTGCAATGGTCATAAGTGTGAATCATAAGTCATATGTCACTTTTTTCAGTGCCGTTTTAAATTTGAACAGTCACTAAATGAACTGTTGTAAGTCGAGGACTACCTCTACGATATATAAGCAAAGCCTAACACTAATGTACTGTTTTTCGATGATTGTCATTTGAGGCTGGGCCCGAATCTTCCATTCCTAAGGACAATTTCTTTCTTCGGTTGCTTCGTTCTTTGTCTTCCTTAGATGCTGGAGACACTTCAAAGGAGCTAAGAGACATACTGTCATTTTCTCTGGCGTTTAATTCCTAGATTGTAGAAAGAGTGAAAGGCAACTATACAATTCTATTTTCTCGTACAGTTTTTTTTTTTAATATCACTATTTAAAAGGACAACTTCCCAGATGCTAGTTTGCCTTGTCTGTCTAAAAGACTCCCAAAGTTAATTGCGGACTTTTCTCAATTGCAATATTTTTAATATTCTCCTTTTAAAAATATCTCTGGCATATCGTTGCAAATCTAAACCAGGTAATCTTCAAAAGCATAACAGAACAGTAGTTCTCCATGGCCTTCCCTAGCATTGACTCCAAATCAGTGGTGAAATCCAATTTTTTTTTACTACCGGTTATGTGGGCATGGCTTGGTGGGCATGGCAGGGGAAGGATACTGCAAAATCTCCATTCCCACCTCACTTCAGAGGAAGGATACTGCAGAATCTCCATTCCCACCTCACTCCAGGGGAAGGATACTACAAAGTCCCCATTCCCTCCTCACTCTTGGGGGAAGGATATTGCAAAATCTCCATTCCCACCCACTCTGGGGCCAGCCAGTGGTGGTATTTGCCAGTTTTCCGAACTAATAAAAACTTTCATTACCAGTTCTCCGAACTGCTCAAAAATTCTGCTACTGGTTCTCCAGAACCTGTCAGAACCTGCAGGGTTTCACCCCTGCCTGCTCCAAATATATTTATTTATTTGAAATTTCTATCCTATCTTTCATGCAGGAAGTTCAAGGCAGTGGTGAAATCCAAATTTTTTTACTACCCGTTTTGTGAGTGTGGCTTGGTGGGCATGGCAGGGGAAGGATACTGCAAAATCCCCATTCCCTCCCCACTCTGGGGCCAGCCAGAGGTGGTATTTGCCAGTTCTCTGAACTACTCAAAGTTTCCGCTACCGGTTCTCCAAAACCTGTCAGAACCTGCTGGATTTCACCCCTGGTTCAAGGCTACGTATATAACGTTCCTTCCTTGCTAATCTGGCACAATGTTCTTTTAGTCGTTTTAATGAAGAGTTATAGACACCTCTTGTTCTTTTTTTAGCATTTCCATGGCTTCCCGGAATTTTCTCTCTTTGGCCTCTGTTTCAGCGATGGTGGCTTTGCTCTGTTCCTCATAAGCCATGGTGACCACAGCTAAGATTAGATTGACCAGATAAAACGAGCCCAGGAAAATGACCAGCACGAAAAACAGCATGTAAATCTTCCCAGATGCTCTTAGTGTCTGAAATCAGAAGAATATGTTAGCCAATTGTGAGAAGTTTTATATCAGAATATATTATTCTTTATACTGTTTCCATCTTCCCTTAAAACGTTAACAGAATCTACAATGGTCTGGGAATCAGAATCTCCACTAGATAACGGACAGTTAAGCTGAAAGAAGTAAAAATGGGGGGAAATCCTTTACCCAAACTTCCTCAAACACCCAAATAAGTTACCTAGACCTAATCCACATATCAAAGGGTAAGGTCTGCAAACACAATAGAATTAATTAAATTAAGCCTCTCAGAGGAACTGCATGTTTACAAGAATAAACATCATAGACACACACACACACACACACACACACACGAGACCCTCAAGTGTCACCCTAGAATTAGCACGTAGACACTTCTCTACCATGATAAGTCTGTTGCCATACCCCATTTCTCTACAGCTGCCTCTAAAGGCAAACTGTTTGCTTTTAGAAATAAATATTTTTTCTTTCCTCATAGCTGTCGGGATCTCATTTTTATTTATTCTTATGCAACCCCAGCTCGAGTTGGAATCCCAAATTATTCTTCTGACGCAATCTTTGAGTAGCATTTACGGAATTACCTAATTACAGAGTTGGAAGGAACCTTGGAGGTCTCCTAGTCCAACCCCCTGCTCAAGCAAGAGACTCTATACCAGTGGTGAAATCCAAATTTTTTTACTACTGGTTCTGTGCGCGTGGCTTGGTGGGCGTGGCAGGGGAAGAATACTGCAAAATCCCCATTCCCACCCCACTCTGGGGCCAGCCAGAGGTGGCATTTGCCAGTATTCTGAACTACTCAAAATTTCCGCTACCAGTTCTCCAAAACTTGTCAGAACCTGCTGGATTTCACCCTTGCCCTATACCCGTGATGGCAAACCTGTGGCACGCGGAGCCATATCAGTGGGCACGGAAGCATTGCCCTAGCTCAGCTGCAGCGCACATGCACTCGCCAGCCAGCTTATTTTCGGGCCTTCTGGTCCCACAGGAAGTTGGGAAACAGGCTATTTCCGGCCTCCGGAAGGCCTCCAGGGGGGTGGGGAAAGCCCGTTTTTCACTCTCCCCAGGCTCCAGAGGCTTTCTAGGAGCCTGGGGAGGGTGAAAATGGCCTTCCCCACCCTCCCCCGGAGGCCGGAAGTGGCCCGTTTGCCGACTTCCAGTCCCACCGACCCCCTGTGCTCCCCCCCTCCCTGCTTTTGGCACACGATGGCAAAAAGGTTAACCATCACTGCCCTATACCATTGCAGACAAATGGCCACCAAATATTTTCTTAAAAACCTCCAGGGATGGAGCATCCACAATTTTTGGAGGCAAGCCATTCCATTGATTAGTTGTTCTCACTGACAGGAAATTTCTCCTTAATCCCAGGTTGGATTTCTCTTTCCAGCTCTTACTTCTTGTCCTGCCCTGAGGTGTTTCAATTTCAACCGTTCCCTCCCAGTTATTCCTATTCTAGAGCTGTGTGGTATCCATCAGTGGGAAATTTACACTCTGCTAAGGGGTGTAAATCATTTTGATAAATGTGCAGTCAAGATTTACAGTGGATTGAGAAATCAGCAATCTGGGAATCTTTTTTAATATTGATGATTAAATGTTATAATTAACATCTTGAAGTAACAATGGCTGGAGACGTTAATAAAGTTTTAGCTCCTTTATTAAATCAGAATAGGATCCTTAAAGATTAGCTCCATAGGCCCTGCTGTGCAGTCGCACCATGGGGGTTGTGGAATCCCTGAGCACCAAGGAATACAGTTTTTGAAGATTATATTCTCCATCGTGATCCTTATCCAAGGTGCAAAGGTCATCCTACGTACTCAGCTAAAGCAAGCAAGCAGTTATATTTGTACATCTCCTTCTGAGGGAGAGAGGTAGGTTTTAAATGTTGATAAATAAATATTGGGTAGCAGAGATATTGGAAGATGCTGAAGACGTCGCCCGTTTCTCTTCCAGGTTTCTGGCACGCATGCGTGTGCATAGATAAGCTGGCCTTCATGCGTACGGCAGTGCCAGAAACTAGAAGAGTTGATCTTCCTACATGATCATGCGTGCTGGCCAGCTGATCGCCGTGCATGCATGCACGCCAGAAACCCGGAAGACATTTTTGGGCACGCGCATGTGCCTTGCGCAGCTCTTCTTCCAGGTTGCAGCTCAGACAAGCGTGCGCACACGAGCTCCCTTTTCAGCACTCGGTGCCGAAAAGGTTCGCCATTCCTACCCTAAACAATTTCAGACAACTGGTTGTCCTGTCTTTAAAAGCCTCCAGTGATGAAGCACCTACAATTTCTGGAGGCAAGCTGTTCCACTGGTTAATTGTCCTCACTGTCAGGAAGTTTTCCCTTAATTCCAGGTTTCTTCTCTCCTTGATTAGTTTTCCTCCATTGCTTCTTCTCCTGCCTTCCGGTGCGTTGGAGAATAGGTTGACTCCCTCTTCTTTGTGGAAGCCCCTTAAATATTGGAAGACTGCTATCACGTCACCCCTGGTCCTTCTTTTCTCTCTCTCTAGAATGGCCATATCCAATTCCTGCAACTGTTCTTCGTATGCTACTGACAATGGCCAAGAGATTATCTCATATTGCATGGGAGGAGGCAAAGGGATTTTGCATTTTGCTAAGAAAGACACATGGATAGACAAGTATGACAATAGGAAGTCATTTGATTAGGTCAACCGGGTTAAAATGTGGATCAACCTCAGGAAAATGGCAACCTAGAAAGTTTCATTGTCCTTATGAAAACGTCTATGTTGCTTGGGAAATCACAATATGAGAAAAACATGGTAAAACAACAGACTAGTTCTACTTCAGCACAGGAGAAAGACAAGCGTGTATACTCCTTAGTTGAATGGAGTAATAAAGATAAATGAATACTTCAGATGGATCAGTTTATGGATTCTCTCCCGGCAAAGAAATGTGCTTTGCCTTATTTGTAGTCTATAGTACTTTAACAAAACACTTCTGGAGTATTTTGGAGAGAGGCGAAGTAGTTATGTGCAAGAACTCTGGATTAAATTCATTTGTTTAACTTCTTTTAGGCCATTTTCTTCACTTCAAAAGCACCTTGGTTTCCTTAGGGCAGTGATAGCAAACCTTTTCGGCACCAAGTGCAGCAACCTGGAAGAAGATGAACTTCTGGTTTCCGGCACATCCATCATGCCAGCCAGCTAGTCTTCCGGGTTTCTGGCAAGCATGTGCGCCCGACGATCAGCTGGCTGGCACGCATGATTGTTAGAAACTGGATCTAGCCCAATAACTCAAAGACATAGCCCAATTCTTTTCAGTAGTTTTATTGTTGATCAGTTGGTACTGGAGGTCACTGACCTTGTACCTTTCTCTTTCAGGTATACATCTGGAATGACCTGTGGAACATGCGGTTGGACCTTTTGTACCCAGGAGGAGGGGTTAAGAGGTAAGGAGTGGTTATAAGGATTATGGGATATGTGGTTAGTTAACCCTTAAGGGTCCGGGGGATCAGGGAGACATGGCAGTTAGGCATTTTATCATGACAAAACCCCCTCTAAATGCCTAACTGGGTACCTGAGGCGGTGTTAGCATACATACAGAGAATACACTGGTACAGGCATGAATTATAAGCAAACACGCATTTTTGACATGAGGTAAGCATGTTGTTTATGTGGTAGGGGTTTAGTGAGAATATCTGCTGTTTGCTCCTCTGTGTCACAGTGCACTGCCCTAATGAAGCCTATCTCTGAAAACTGCCTGACGTGTTTGTATTTAATGTCAATGTGCCTAGAACGCTGACCTATGGCATCGGCCCTAGAGATTTCTATCGCTGCCTTGTTGTCTTCGTGGATAACTATTGGATATGAGGGTTCAGCCCAGATGTCGCAGAGCAGGTCATCGAACCATACTAAATTGTTTGCGGCCTTTGATAGGCAAACAAATTCTGCTTCCGTAGTTGATGTGGCCACCAGTTTTTGCTTTCCAGTGTACCAGTGGATGGGGCAATTGTTGAGTAGTAGCACGTAGCCTGAGGTGCTTTTTCTGCACTCTATGTCCCCAGCCCAGTCAGCGTCAGCATAGCAGGTTAGCTTTGGTTCCTTGGATGTTTCTGGTTCTAGGCAGAGTAGGGCATCCGCACTAAATTTTAAGTATCTAAGTAGTCTTTTGATGGCGTTCCAGTGTGTTACCGTAGGTTTGCTTACATGTCTGGACAGCAGGTTGACGGCCAAGGCGATGTCGGGCCTGGTCCAGTTGGATATGTACAGCAGTGACCCTATCGTTGATCTATATAGTTTGTTGTCTGTGAAAGGTTCAGATTCCTCATACATGGTCTTCAGGAACTCGGGTTGCATGGGGGTCTCGCTGGGTTTTGCTTCGGACATGTTGCATTTGGACAGCAGCTCGATGATCTTTTCTCTCTGGGAGAGTCGGAAGCCCTTGTTGGTTTTTATCACTTGGACCCCTAGGTATCTGTCAATCTTTCCAAGTGACTTTAAGGAGAAGTGGCTACCCAGGTCAGTGGCGAACTTGTCACACCTGTTCTTGTGCTTGCTGATGTACAAGATGTCGTCCACGTAAACGAGCACACCTTCGAATGAGTCGTTTTCTCTCCTCGTAAAGAAGCATTTGTCAGCTGAGGTGGCCTCGAAGCCCATGGATCTGAGGGCCTTGGCTAAGCAGTCATACCACCTTTTGCCCGACTGCTTGAGCCCGTACAGGCTTTTATTCAGTAGCCAGGTTTGGTTCTTGTCTTTGTTGTACCCAGGCGGGGCTTTGACGTATATTTCTTTATCCAGCTCGGCGTGCAAGTATGCTGTTTGTACATCGAATTGGAAGACCTCCAAGCCCAGGATGGTGGCCACCACCAGGGCGCTCTTGACGCTCTCTGCCCTGACGGTTGGCGAGTAGGTGTCCGTATAGTCTTCGGGGTATCTTTGGGCGAAACCCTGCGCGACTAGTCTTGCCTTGTATAGGACCTTGTTGTCCTCTAATGTTTTAACCCTGAACACCCATTTGGTTCCTATTGGTTTTTTG